TCTGAGGATCTGTTGGGTGAGAAAGAAAGAGAGAAACTTCGATATGAGAGAGAACATTGATCGGTTACCTCCCAAAGGTGCCCCCACTGAGGACTGAACCTGCACCGACACATGTGCTCTGACTGGGAATCAAACCTGTCACCTTTTGGTGCACAGGACAACTCTCCAACCCACTGAGCCTTCTGTCTAGGGCTATAATGATTTATTTTAATCTTCACAAAAACCTAGTGAGAATAATTTCTTAGTAGTACTAGTAATAAAAATAACATTTTCTGGGTATTTGATATGTCAGTCACTGTTCTTAGTGCTTTACATATATTAGGTTTTTTTTTGTTGTTGTTGTTGTTTTTTTTAATCTCAATACCTATGAGATAAGTACATGATTTTTATCCTTATTTTTTAGAGGAGGAAACTAGTTGAAGAGGTTAAACAATTTATATAAAGATACAAAGCTAGTATGTGGAAGAGCTGTATTCCAAACCAGGTCTGATTGATACAAAGCTCAAGCTCTTAATTGTGGTTCAGCAGGCTAGAGCTAGAGCATCTTTAATAATGTAGATCAGCGTTTTTCAACCGCTGTTCCGCAGCACACTAGATGTTGCCTGGTGTGCCGTAGGTGCAGACAAGACAAGAATTTTATAATTTTTCACTATTTTGTTTACTTAATATTTCATAATAAAGTAATTGTAAAATACTTTCTTTGTGTTTATTTGATTCCTATTCAAGAGAATTACTTTATATATAGTCAATATAGGCACAGAGTTAAATTTTTTAACATTTTCTAATGGTGGTGTGCCTCGTGATTTTTTTCATGAAACAAGTGTGCCTTTGCCCAAAAAAGGTTGAAAAACACTGATGTAGATACATATGTCTTAATAAACAGGAAAGTTATTTAAGGGTTTTCTTCAAGAATTACTTTTTTTTTTTAAGGAGGAAACTGTACTTTTAGTGTTGATGGCTTACTAATTGTTTCTTGCTCTTATAACCATGACTAAAAATAACAAAGTGGTTTTTATCCTACAATTTTATCCTATAATTTACAGATTTTTTAATTTTTATCATAAACAGTTGTTGACTACTTCAAGAGAGTGGTTTGTAGCAGACTGAGATTTGATGTGGGTGGTGATTAACAGTGTCATTGTCTACAATGGAACTTACTGAATGGTGACCTTGAACCTCGCTATGTAGGTGGCATTGTACTAAGGTGCTTTTAAAGCTTTAAAGACCAAGGGAATCCATTCCATTAAAAAGCCTATTTGATGGTCTTTTAAAACTTGTATCTTTCAAAATTGCTTTCTGAGGATAAAACAATAAAAGGTAAACATACATTTATACTTCCTAAGAGTTCCAGTCTGGCTCCCAGAGGGTGCCTGGCACAGAGCCTGGAGAGGCAGCTTCTTATGCTCCTAGTGGCTCAGATGCCCGTAGATCGGCTTACTCCCCGTGGAGCCATCTGAGCAGGTGCTGTTGACAGGGTTAGAATATAGTGAACTTGCCGAAACCGGTTTGGCTCAGTAGATAGCGTGTTGGTCTGTGGACTGAAAGGTCCCAGGTTCGATTCCAGTCAAGGGCATGTATTAATACATTGGCTGCGGGCACATCCCCGGTAGGGGGTGTGCAGGAGGCAGCTGGTCAGTGATTTTCTCTCATCGATGTTTTTAGCTATCTATCCCTCTACCTTCCTCTCCGTGAAAAATCAATAAAATATATATTTTTAAAAAGAATATAGTGAACTCGTGTTGGGTTCTTCAATCTATGTCTGTGTTTGACTTTTTACCTTAAGCTGTGCCTGTTAATAAAATTTAGATAGACATTCAAATATCTGTCCTTAGCTAATATAATAGTTAACTTTTATGGTGTGCCTACAATTTGGATACAGTTTGGACAGCTGATGAGATTTGGGGCTAACACAATTTTTTAAAAATATAATAAACATTTTTGAACTTGCTAGGAAATACTAATGAAGTATCTTTGTAAGAGCCAGTTTTAAATATAACTTGCACCCTCGCAGAAGCCAAGTACAAGAAGCTGGAGAAGCGATGACAAACTTATTCCTGTGGAACAAATCTTTTTTAATGTGGAAGAATGAGACCTGAATCCTGAGGCTGATGAATTGTCACAACTCCTCAAAAGGAAACCATGCTGGCCGTCTCAGAAACATCCGACCATTGGAGTAAACTGGAGAACTGTGGCTACTCCTGAATTTCTCTTGGGGCAGTATCCCTCAGGAACGCACACTTACTACCCCCTACCGTTTACTTGAATGCTTAATTATACATTTAGGACCCCAAGTCTCTCAAAGTTCAGGATAAACCTGGGCTTTTCAGTTGAATCAAATGAGAGGGCTTAAGTGACTGGATTTTGAGTTACTGTGTAAATGGTGGTTTGTTTTTTATTGAGCTAATGTATTGCTAATAAGAATCTAAATTAAAAAAGGAAAATAAAACTTCACAGTTTCTCATCTTGTGTCGGTATTTTATTTTTCTATTAAAGTACAATAAATAATAATAAATAATAAAAAGTCTTAAAATAATTTCATGCTGTCTTTTAGACTGAGCAGAAACAGTGAAAGGAGTGTTGTGATAGTTTGGTGTATGTGATGGGCCTCTCCAGTCTCTTCTTTGTGTGAATCAGATGTCTCAGGATGGATGACATCTTGACATGTATTCCCCTTTGGAAATGTGATAAAGACAAAGGCAGAATGTGTATGTGTATGTATGTATGTCTGAGGTAGGGGTGGGGCAGGTGGAGCTGCCGCTCATTAAATAAAGCATTTTAGCTGAGGCCGGATTGGCTCAGTGGTAGAGCTTCAGTCTGCAGCCTGAAAGGTCCTGGGTTCGATTCCGATCAAGGGCATGTACATTGGTTGCGGGCACATCCCCAGTAGGGGGTGTGCGGGAGGCAGCTGGTCGATGTTTCTCATCGATGTTTCTGGCTCTCTGTCCCTCTTCCTTCCTCTCTGTGGAAAATCAATAAAATATATTTTTTAAAAAAATAAAAAATAAAGCATTTTATAAAATATCTTCCTACTTGTGTTTGCAGGATGAGGGGGGCTCCTGAGGACCTGATCATCTTGCTCCCAGACTAAGGACATCAGTAGGTGGAGAATACGGACTGACTAGGGTCGTTTAGAAGACAGGCAATCTTATCCATAGTTGTATGTTAGCAGCTAAGAAGGTGGCTGAGGTCCCCAATTCCATCTCTAAAAACAGTTCTTAACTTTGTTTCCATCATTTTCCACTACCTGTGTTCCAGACCACCTCTGTCTATACTTTGTTCCTCTGGACTATTTCTTTTATTCTGCTCTAATCTTAATTATTCCCTGCCTTCTAACTTCAGGCTTAGTTTACTCTTTTTCTAATTCCTTGAGGTGTAATGTTAGGTTGTTTATTTGAGATAGTGTCTCTTAATAAAGACATTTATAGCTGTAAACTTTCCTCTTAGAACTGCTTTTGCTACATCCTACAACCACATACAAATTTCAGTATGTGGTTGTTTCCTTTTCATTTGTCTCAAGACAGTCCTTTATATTTTGATTTCTTTTTTGGTCCATTGGTTGTTGAGGGGTGTGTTGCTTAATTTCCACCCATTCATCAATTTTCTAGTTTTCCTCCTGTTATTGAATTCTAGGTTCACACCTTTGTGGTTGGAAAAGATACTTGATATAAATTCTGTCGTCTTGAATTTGTTGAGACTTGTTTTGTGGTCTAACCTATTCTGGAGAATGTTCAAGTGCACTTGGGAAAAATGTGTATTCTAAAGCCAAACGTGGCATGCGTACAAGGCTCCTGTCTTTATTTTCCTTTTTTAAATTTCATTTTTTGTTACACTTGCATTGTGTTTAACTGTCTTGATCTACCTTAATTCCCATGGATGAGTTTTCTTTTCATAAACTTTCTACTTTAGAATAGTTTTAGATTTGTAAAAATGTTTTGAAGATAATGCAGAATTCCGTGGATGAGTTTTCATTTCTTACTGTTGTTTCCTCTTTTTGAAATTATTATCCATCCATACTTGGCAAACTTCTACTCTTCTTCAAATTTCAGTCTTGATCTCCAGTGCTGGACTGTGCTGCATTACCCCAAAGAGGAAAATCACATGCTTAGTTTGCCAGCAAAGCAAACTACATTTTAGTTAATTTTGAATTGTTTGGCTGCCCTTGATGAGTTTTCCATGTCCTTCAATTGTTAGGAACTCTGACCTTTGTTTCCACTTCTTTAAACACTGCCATCTCCTGCCAAATGGCCTGAAGTCTCCAAAAAGCCAATGTTATAAAAAACAAAACCAAAAAGGTAGATGGGCTACGGGAGATTAAAGGAGACAAGAGATGGAATTGAATGTGAATGTGAAACTTGATTGGATTCTGACTGAAAACAAATAAAGGTATGAAATAAATGGGGTGGGGGGGGGGGAAGAGAGAGAGACAAATGAAGAACTTTAAGTATGGATGTGCTAGGTGATATTGAGTTAATGTTAATTTTCTTAGGTGTTAATGATGTTATGATTATGTAGGAGGATGGTCCTTGGGAAATGCACGCAGAGGCATTCTTGATGTCTGGAATTATTTTCAGATGATTCAATGAGAATAAAAGTGATTGTGCACCTTGAAGGCGATGGCCATTCTTTTAATTTTTCAAAAGGTCCAAAACCTATGAAAAGTGGGTCTGAAGGGAGTGTCTTGCTCTCCAGCGTGATGTGGTTAGGTTAGCATAGGTTAGGGTCCAACATTGTGCTGGGAACTTTCTAGCAGCTCAGACACTTACTCCAGTTGCCCGGAAATACAAAATCATAATGGGATTTTTAAATGCTATTTCCCCTTTCTCCTTAATTCCCCTTTCTTCTTGAGGCGAATGTACCTACTAGAGGCTTCTGTCCCTCGGCGCTCTCCGTAGACAGGAGAACCCTCATTGGCTGGGACGCGCTGACGTCTTATTGTGCTGCCAGCGCGTTTTCCGGAGGAGTGCGGTGCGGGTCCTGAGCGGCGGTGGTGGCCCCAACCCGGGGTTTCGGGACCGATGGCCCAGAAACCGCTGCGCCTGTGAGTGACCCTGGATCGGGAGCCCCTGTGCGTGTGTGTGTGCGCGTGTGTGTGTGAGTGTCGGGGGGAGGGGCGCACGTGGCTGCCTGCGGCGGTGGGGTGGGCTCTCCGGGCGGGAAGGGAAGACCTAGAGGCGGGGATGGGAGCTCCTGTCACATCTCGGCGGGTTGGGAGCTCCGATCCCATCTTGGTCCGGCGGGGTGCCCTCTTTCCCTGGCGGTTTCGCTTCCAGGCGGGCACCGTTGGCGATAGTCGCCGAGGGAAGCTCCGTGGGGCCTCTTCCTGGTTAGGCCACTCTGGCCTCTGACACCTCATTTACAACCCTGTTCTCCCGCACGCCGTTTACTACGCCAGAGTTTCTAGGTGTGCGGCCGGCTGAGGGGCCCTGGGCGGAAGAGGTGGTTGGATGGGTAGGTCCTCTGCCCTGGCTCACTCTCTGAGGCAGGTGGAGGGGGCGAGAGGCTGGGACCGTAAAGAGAGGACTTCCATTCATCCGCTCGTTCAACCCATATTTACTGAACAATTGCAGTGTGCCAGGCACTGCACCAGGACAGATGGAGTGACTGCCTTAGTAGAACTTATAGTGAAGAGAAACAGACTGACAGTAATAATCAGGGAGTCCAGATCCATGCAAAGTTAATGGTAGTGGTGAATGTCAGGAAGAAAAGATTCACAGTTCCGGTAGGGTGTATAATAGGAGTATTTGGTTTAATATGAGAGATAGGAGAAGTGAGGATTGAGCCTTAACATTTTTGTCTTTATCCTAAGGAAGAAAGTCATTGAAATGTTTAAGAACAACTGAGCATGATCAAAATTTTCATTTTGGAAAGTGATTCCAATTTAAGGTGAAACCGGGACGGTCCCGACTTTTAACAATTTGTCCCGCGGCGTTTTAAAAAAGTCCCGATTTTTGGAAAGAATCTTTTAAATCTTTTGGACTTTTTAAAAAACGCCACGGGACGGGGGACAAATTGTTAAAAATCGGGACGTCTGGTCACCTTATTCTAATTGCTATGTGGAGAACAAATTAGAGCCGAAAGAGAGGACAGCAGCTAGGGTTAGATGGAGTGACGTCAGCAGAAAAGTGCAGGGTTGCAAGGCCCATTGAGGAGATGCAATACCGGGTTTGAGGTGCTTTGGTTGTAAGAAGGAGCCAGCATTGTTGGGGTCCTAGATTTTTTTCTTTCTTCAGTGGGCTAGGAGACGCTGGAAACGGGCTCACACGAGGAGATGATGAATTTTGAGGTGTCCTATGATGTACAAACTGAACCATGGCTCTCCCAGAAATAACTATAATCCCATGTGACTGCTACTGTGATAGAGGAAGTGGGAGCACCAAGAACTGGTACCTGATAGGGACCAGAGGGCTCCCTAAAAGAGGTGTTGCCCAGAGGTAAAAATGCTTAGTAGGTGATTACAGAGCTTGCTTTGGGTTTCTGAAGTTTGGAGAGGGACTTTCTGACCTGGTCAGGAAGACTTTAGAGATGTGCCAGGATTTGAAGCATGAGAAAAATTTAGACTCAGGCTGGGACTCATAGAACTAACCATTCCAGGGAATGGCAGAAGGAGAGAGTGATCAGATTGACCGTAGGGAAGGTTTCTGTTAGGGAAACTTGCAGTCTCCCCTCTTTTTTTATTTCTCACCCGAGGAGATATTTCCATAGAAATTTAGAGAAAGATAGAAACATCTATGTGAGAGATAAACATCAATCGGTTGCCTTCTACACACATCCCGACCCAGGATTGAACCCACAACCTGTGTATGTGCCCTGACTGGGAATCGAACCTTCTACCTTTTGGTGTATTTGATGATGCTCCAACTAACATTGAGTCACACCAGCCGGCAACCCTTTTTATACAGGGTGAGACAAATGTAGGTTTATAGTTGTGAGTATGTGAAACAGTTTATTTTTGTGTTATTATTTATTATTATAGTTTCCATACAGACAGCTGTAAACCTACTTTTGATCCACCCTGTATAAATTTATGATTATAACAGTATCCCTTCCCTGATTGTAAACTGAGGTTTGAACTGTCTTACCCCACTTTGTACTCCTAATACATTCTTAGCATAGGACTTGGTATATTGCATTTAGCATATTATAGGTTCAGTATGTATTTATTGAATGAATGATTGAAACTCTGGACCAAGATAATGACAATGGAAATAAAAAGGCCAGGATGGATGTGTAAGCTGTTTTTGGGGGTGCGGGGGAAATGATGTTTTGAAAGGGGATTGATAAGACTTGATGATTGGAGGGGAGATTTTTGATTCTTAGTGGCCAGGTTGGTGAATGACCGATCCACAATATTTGGGCAGTGAGGAGAAGCTGGTTCAATTTTGGAGGAAAAGATAAGGTAAACTTTAGGTAGGGTGAGTGGAAGGTGTTGGTGAGACTTTTAGGTCAGTAATAGTTCACATGCACTGAGCCTGTCAGGTGGCCTCAGGAAGACTTGGTCACATGTCTGCGTGACCCAGGAAGATCTGGCAGCCCTGTAATTGCCTTGATGTTTATCTCTTGTTTGCAGCTTGGCTTGTGGAGATGTTGAAGGAAAGTTTGATGTTTTATTCAATCGAGTTCGAGCAATTCAGAAGAAAAGTGGAAACTTTGACGTAAGATGTTTCCTTTTTCTGAATTTAATTTTACTGTCAACATACAAAAATAAAGTTTGGACTCCTTTATTCGTTTCTTGATTTAACACATACTCCTTTTTTTGTTGTTGTTGTTGTTAGATTGGGTACCTTTTGTGAGCATAGAAACTTAGTAGCTGCAGAACAGTGGAAGAAGGAGACCTGTTTACCTTTTTATACTTTTAAAATTTCAATCTTGTTATTTTATCAATGTACACAAATGTGAAAACAGACCAGCAGAACATCCCTAAATGATTCTTTTTTCTTTTTTATTGAATATATTAACAGAATTATATAGGCTTCAGGTATACAATTTCACAACACATCATTTGTACATTGTATTGTGTGTTCACCACCCCAAGTGAGGTCTCTATCCATCACTATTTATCCGCCCCGCCCCCTCCTACCCTCCCCTCCCCCCCAGGTATGGGGATTATATGCTCATTTGCTCATTGGGTTAAAAGTTGAGTAAAGACAACAGGCAGCACATGTGTTTTTTATGCCCTATATTTCTCAAGGTATCTAATATTTAAAGTTTTGTTTTTCACAGAAGATTCTTCAAGGTTGATTTCTCCATCTTCCCCATTCCCAACTTGAATTTGACAGTCAGTAAGACAAAATGTAGTTATTTATACAACTGTTACTATAGAATTAGGTATTGAAATTCTGCAAGTTGATTAAGGCAAAAAAAACCTGGTTTGAGATCATTACTTTGGATAATTAGCTGAGTAATGTTACTATCAATTATGTACCATTTGATTTAAAAAAAACTCATATCTGTTTAAAAAACTCATTTTAGCTGCTGTTGTGTATAGGAAATTTCTTTGGCTCCACTCCAGATGCTGAATGGGAGGAGTATAAAACTGGCATCAAAAAAGGTATAGAAATTCCTTTTATTTAGCAAATGATTTCTAACAAAGTTTCAAGACTACACAGTCTTTTTTGGGTTGTTTTCACAAATGTTAGTTATTTAAAAAATTCTTTTTGAGCCCTGCATTGAGCTGATTCATATTTGGAATTAGTTCCAGAAAAATCATTCTTTTTTAAGTCGGCAAGAATTGAATAAATGAAATCGTATGTGTTCTTTCCTTTTCCCAGTATCAGTGTTTTTTTTTAAGCTTTTTAGGGACTATTTTTTCTAATTACACATTGACCATCCTCTTTAAGATTTCACTTCATCATCTTAGTCAGTGTTTTTCAACCTTTTTTGGGCAAAGGCACACTTGTTTCATGAAAAAAATCATGAGGCACACCACCATTAGAAAATGTTAAAAAATTTAACTCTGTGCCTATATTGACTATATATAAAGTAATTCTCTTGAATAGGAATCAAATAAACACAAAGAAAGTATTTTATAATTACTTTATTATGAAATATTAAGTAAACAAAATAGTGAAAAATTATAAAATTCTTGTCTTGTCTGCACCTACGGCACACCAGGCAACATCTAGTGTGCCGCGGAATAGCGGTTGAAAAACGCTGATCTTAGTGATACCATTTAATAATCAGGCCATAAGGTTGGGTGTAGGATATGCTAACTGGTGATCATATTCCACATGTAGGATTGCAGACTCTGTACTTTTGCTATGATTATTTTTCCTATGTGGAAGCATTGCTCAAGTTCCAAAGCAGATCTGGTAACTATGGTGTCATGTATGTTTCTCTCACTAGCTCCTATTCAGACATACGTGCTAGGTGCCAATAACCAGGAAACAGTAAAATATTTCCAAGATGCTGATGGGTGTGAATTAGCTGAGAATATTACTTACCTGGGTAAGTTGATATTTTTTGTGTTTGTAATGAACATAATAAAGTCTTCTAGGAAATTTGTGGCTAGATTCTTCTGCTATTACTGTGGCCCAGATTCTGACTGAATGGGGATCAGAGGGGTTCTTTCCCAAAGTCTGTGTTGAGTAATTACAGGACTATAGTAATTATAGAAATGTTGGGAGAGGTAAGGGTATTTGCTAGTTCAGACCTTTGTGACCTGTTCCACCTCCCTCAAATCTTGTGTTCCCACAACCAAATACATACTCTTGCAGCCAAACAGAGGAATAGCTTACTTGACTGTGTATATATAGTGTTTAAAGTATAAATTATGTTTTTTTAAAAATCTGTGGATGTGGTCTCGCCATATAACACACAGCTTACTTAATAGATTCCTTACTAGCTATAGCTCTAAGTCTCTCTGAGCTTTTTGAAACTGAAGTTTTTAGTGCCGATCTTTGGGTTTTTCACTTCCTTTGTCCTTTTTCTGGTTCCAGGTCCACTCTTTAGTTCCAGCTTAGAGTTGTTTCCTCCCACCCCCTGCATCTCATTAGTGGCTTTCTCAGTGCTGGCCATTTTGTTTTCTCTTCACTTGTTGTCAGTCCACAACCTCTTGGATCACTCAGCTCAATTCCTCCCTAAAATAGCTCCACTGCTCTTCACGTTTTCTCCACTGCTCTTCTCATTTGTCTTCTGCATTTTCTTTGTTGTAAATACCATTCTTCTCCCTCCCCACCATAATCCATCTTGACCTTTATTTGATTCCCTACATCTGACTATGGCCCTCCTGAATCTCATCTTGTTTCAACCATATGAGATTATTTTAGGCAAAAAATTGAGGGACAGATTTTTATTTGTTGTTTTAATCATCATTGTGAGAAATACATTTTGAGATCCTTTTGTTGTAGCTCTTACTGTGGGCCTGACTTATGGCAGTTCTCACTGTAGTTAATAGATTTGGATTAAGACCACTGCTGTAGATATTTATGACAGCCGTTTTACCACATGAAGTTAGTGCCAAGAGTGGAAAGAGCAGCTGAGGTATTTAGGTTATTTCTGTGAAAGAGAATTTTTGAGATCCAGTAGGCAGAGCAAACAATGAACTTAATAGTGAACATGTGATACTGAACTTGAAGGGCTGGCAGAACATCCAACTTATAATGGGAGTGATTTTTCTTGAGTTTATAAATGAAGTCACTGTTGGAGAGTATAGGTTTTGGGCTGCTGGTCCCACAAAGATGAGAAATAAAGCTGAGAAGAGGATCAAATTGTTAAATAAGAATATGAGAAAGGAAGCAGGCAGATGGTAGTATCTTGTGGTTTAGGGCATATATCTTCACCTAGAAGGCAGGCAGAGGTGAAAGTAATTACAGGTGTGTTGGGAGAGGTAAAGATATTATCTTTCATAGAGTAAGTGAAGAGAGTAGAGACAATTGGTGATTATGACCTTGAAGAGAATGGTGGGAGAGGGAAACTAGATTGCAGTCGGTTAAGCAGCTAATTAAGAGGTAAAGCACTTAGGATGGACTACTCTTTTGAAAAATGTGAAACTGCAGAGGAAAAGCTTTATCAGTTAGTATGTGTATTTATTAATTAGTATGTGCCTTTACTAGTATGTATATTAATTAGTATGTTTAATATTTTGTTTCCTGAATGGAAAGAGCCAGTTGAGAAGAAGAGACTTAGTAGATGAAAGTGAAAACTGATGGAGCAAAGTCTTAAAGGCACAACCAAGGAAGAAATTTAGAACAGTCACTAATTTTTCCCAAATAGCTGCTCTTTTGAAACGTTTTCCTTCAATTGGCAGCTGTTGCCTGCATGAAGCGTACATCTATTCTAGATTATACCTTCCTCAGAACTGCAGGTATCTTTTTCTTTTCATCACCTCTCATTATGTCCAGGTGTCTGGCTTTCTTTTAATCTGTGCAGAATCTCCACTAGAAGGCAGAAAGCCTTTTGCTTCCCACCTTTTGTCATTAGCACCTGGGTAAACAGACTGACCGGTGGGCTCCAGCAGCTGGTCTCACTGAACAGGAGTACATTGTGGCCTCTGGCACAGAGACCTAGCCGCCAGCAGGGCCGCTAGGGCTTTGCAGTAGACATTCAAAGCAGGGAGGAAGCAGGGTCATGGCGTGGGGAGAGAGATTTACCCCCATAATGACATTTCATTTTGCAGTTTTGACTAAAACTTGTCCATTTTTCTTTGAACCCAGGGCGGAAAGGTGTCTTCACTGGAACCTCGGGGCTGCAGATCGTGTACCTCAGTGGGACAGAGTCCTTAAATGAGCCAGTCCCAGGCTACAGTTTTAGTCCCAAGGATGTGTCTTCCCTGAGGACAATGCTGTGTTCGACACCCCAGTTTAAGGGTGTTGATATCTTGCTCACATCCCCATGGCCCAAGTATGTGGGGAACTTTGGGAATTCTTCTGTGAGTAGCGCTTGTTCAGTTGGAATTTCTAAAAGCAAATGGCACTGGCTTAATTTGGGCTTTTTCTGCTCTTTATATTAAGTGTTTTAACTCTTAATGTAAACTCTTAATATGACTCTTAATTTTTATGTGAATTTTTCATGATACGTAAAGCTATATTAACTGACCAAAGCAAAAGTCGATCTTATGAAAGTTTGATTCACAGTTGAGATTGTTGAAATCTTAATTATAAATGAATGGTTCTTTAAATTATATTCTCTGCTTTAGGTGCCCTCTTTCAGGCTTCCTCTTATTTTGTTTTGAGGGTTCACTAATTTTCAATGAAAATATTTATAACAAGTGGCAGCTCAGGTTATAGCTTTTTTGCTATCAAAATATTTTTTTAGATGGAATCATTATGGATCAAAGGTAGTGATCTAAAGACCTAAAGATAGGAAAAGATGTGTTAAAAACTTAGTACTTCTCTAAAGTGAAAACTTAAAAAAAATTTTTCAATTTTATTTTATGTGAAAGCTTTAATGTTGGGATGCACTGGATCTCACCATAGCATTTTTTAAAATATATTTTATTTATTTTTCACAGAGAGGAAGGGAAAGGGATAGAGAGCTAGAAACATCAATGAGAAAGATACATCGATCAGCTGCCTCCTGCACACCCCCAACCAGGGATGTGTCCGGAACCAATGTATATGCCCTTGTCCGGAATCGAACCTGGAACCTTTCAATCCGCAAACCGAGCTCTATCCACTGAGCCAAACCGGTTTCGGCTCACCATAGCATTTTTGTAAACAATCTAAAAGAGGGTGTACATCAGGTTGGTGAATAACAGCTACCGGGAAATACTATATTGGTGGAAATCAGCCTAAGGAAGACCTGGAAGGTTGTGAGGACAGAAATCATCAGTTGAGCTTTAGTGAAGGGAAATGATCCAGAAAAGGGTCTTGTAGAGCACTCTGCCACTTTAGCACAATGTGTCTATGACCAAAAAGGCCAACGAGATAGCAGGTATTGTCAGGAAGGATGCTGAAAGGCAAAAGGACAATGCTCTCTTCCCCTTCCACAAATTCAGAGTTATTCTGGAATTCAAGGGGCAGTGCTGATTGCAGCATAGAGAAGATACAGCAAAGCTAGGGAGGATCCAGAGGTCTATTAAGCTGATGATAGGAGGGAGAAAGACACATGTGATGCTCTGTAAGGAAGGAGAAGAGACTCCTTCATTTTTGGGGTGCTAACAAAGATCTTAATTCAAGTTTATAAATAACCATACAAGATACTTACAGGGAAGAAAATGTAGCTCATCAGTCCTTAAGCTACCATAGCTAACCTCAAGGCCAATTCCCTGCCCCTCAGTAGAATCCTGAAGGAGGCAAGCATAAAACAACAGGGGTTCTTGCTTTACTTAGTGGAAAATTAACTTGGTAGTTGATTTCCAGCTAATATCTTCACATTATGGATGAGAAATCACATAACTTGTTATTTGAAGCTAGGGATTTTCTGGGAACGAGCCTAACTTTTGGCGGACTGTAACAATGGCATGATGTGCTCTTCCACAAACTACACATTCTTTAACTGAGGCAAAATAAAGGATTGCATGCTTATATGATGAAGTTCTTTAATATTTCATCCCAAGTATTCTCTACATTCTAGTGGCTCTGAAAGCTAGCTTTATTTCTATATTGTAAATTGACTATCTGCATTGTCATAACTATAGGTGCACAACAAAGCAAATCATAGTAGTCTGTGCACTTCTGACAGAGAACTTACTTTCCAAAAACGATTTTTTGTTTTTAATCCTCACTCAAGGATATTTTTCCATTGATTTTTAGAGAGAGAGTGGAGGGGAGGGATGAGGGGGAGAGGAAAAAAGAAATATTGATTGGTTGCTACCCACACATCCTGACCCAGGCTAGGGATTGAGCCTGCCACCAAGATATGTGCCCTTGACAGGAATTGAACCCTGACTGTTTGGTCCGTGGGCTGATGCTTTACCCACTGAGCCACATCGGCCAGGGCTCCCAAAATATTTTAAGAGGTTTAAAAACCCGGTTTTGGGGTATTAGTCTGGAGAACTGGCTTTTTAACCTCTAGCTTCCATCAGTTGTTTCTGTTTCTGCATTCATAGTAACTCAGTTCCATTTGTATGTTTGAGATTTCATTGACTTCCATTGTATGGAATTTACTATGCAAATTCTACTGCCCACATTTGTATCCACATTCAAATTTCAAAGTGTCTTGTTATTTCTTTGCATTTCTCGGTTACTCTTAGGTCTGCTGAGGTGACTGAATTTCTGTTTACTAGGGAGAAGTGGATACCAAAAACTGTGGCTCTGCTTTGGTCTCCAATCTTGCCACAGGCTTGAAACCAAGGTATCATTTTGCTGCTTTGGAAAAGACCTATTACGAGAGGCTTCCATATCGGTGAGTAGCATTTCGTTCTTTTTGACTTTTTGAAGAATTTACCTTGGATCTTTTGTGTTAACTTCTCATGTTCATTTCAGCCTTATAACATCTTAAGGTTTTTTAGTTACTCGGGCACTGAATGAGTGACTCTCAAAGTATTCAACTTTACTGAGTTTGCTTCCTAATTTTAAACATAAGGGATTGCACTTTATAGAGCCTTTAAAGGTCTGAGGGTCTGAAATAACAATGTGTAATCATCATAGCTTGATGTAACAGTAATTCCCTTTTTTTTTTTTTTTTTTTAGTAATTCCTATTTTGATCAGGTCAAACTGTACTATTTTTATAATCTTAATCTCAGTATAATCACTTTAGAAGTATTTTGATTTGAGAATCAAGAACTTGCTTTAGCTTCAGCCGAAGCCGGTTTGGCTCAGTGGTAGAGCGTTGGTCTGCGGACTGAAAGGTCCCAGGTTCGATTCCGGTCAAGGGCATGTACCTTGGTTGTGGGCACATCCCCAGTAGGGGGTGTGCAGGAGGCAGCTGGTCGATGTTTCTCTCTCATCGACGTTTCTAGCTCTCTATCCCTCTCCCTTCCTCTCTGTAAAAAATCAATAAAATATATTTAAAAAAAAACAAACAGATTTAAAAAAAAAACTTGCTTCAATTTATTTATGCTTTTAGTTTAATTTTTAAAGGTGCAATTTTTAAAGGATATATTGCAGAGAAAATAAGCCCATTGATTTATAAGTGGTAGAGCTAAGTAAAATTAACTCTGAATCATCTTCAGTGTATAAGGCATGGGTAATCCCTAAAATAATTTTTCATAAAAGTAATATATGTGTATGTTGTTGAAAGTTCAAAAAATAGAGCTAAGTGAAAAGGAGAAAATAACCTGCCTTTTCCCCAGAGTAGCATAGCATAAGACATAACCATGGGTAATACAGGTTTTTGTATCTCCATATTTGCATTCCTCTGTGAATAAACTAAAAATTATTAAGTTGTATACTTTAAATAATATAGTATTTGAATTAAATCTTAATAAAATTTAATTTTTTTAGCCAGAGTTGTAACAAAATTTTATATAATTATCATAATACAAATACTAATATAGCTAAATCTCCACTAACATTTGCACCTAGAATATGTCAGTCCATGGCTTTGCATCCCTGTATTCCTTTGAAGAGCTATTATGATTAAAAACACCATTCAGGGGTAGCATTCTGCATCAGTCATTTTTTTTTATTAATGTATTTTTATTGATTTCAGGGAGAGAGATAGAAACAGCAATGATGAAGGAGAATCACTGATTGGCTGCCTCTTGCACGACCCCTATTGGGGATTGAACCCGCATCTCAAGTATGTGCCCTGACCAGGAATTGAACCTGTGACCTCCTGGTTTCTAGGTTGACACTCAACCACTGGGCCATGCTGCATCAATCATTTTTATTTTAAAGTAATGAGGGAAACATTTTCCCAACTTTTTTTTATTGTACTTGTAGTTTGCCTGTGGTATTAGTTTTCTATTGCTACTATAACAAATTACCACAAACTTTATACTTAAAACAATACAATTATTATCATACAGTTCTATAGGTCAGAAGTTTGACACAGGTCTCTTTGGGCTAAAATCAAGTGTTGACTAAGTTGTATTCGTTTCTAGAGGCCCTAGTGGGAGTCTGTTTCCTTGCCTTTTTCAGCTTCTGGATTCCACCTACCTACACTCCTTGCCCGATGGCCCCTTTGCTCCATCTTATAAAGCCAGCAACTCTGGTTGAATCCTTCTTACTACTCTTACCTGGTTCAGTAGCCACTTCCCTCTGACTCTCTTCTGCTTCCCTTTTCTGCTGCTAAGGACCTTTGTGATTATGTTGGGTCAACCCAGCTTATTCAGGATCATCTTCCTATGTTAAGGCCAGTTAATTAGCAAGTTATTAAATCTATCTGTCATCTTAATTTCCCTTTGCTATGTAAACTAATATTCACAGGTTATGGGATTAGGACATTGACATCTTTGGGGGCCATTATTTTGCATACTATACCTGGATAGCTTAACAGTGGAGAATATTAGCAGTTCTTGAGCTCACTGCACTACGTCCACTAAAAAATACATATCTTAGGATATTTCTTAATGTCTTCATGTGTTTTTAAAGCTTCAATTTAATTATGAGTAAACTTGTTCTAATCATTTAAAATAGTTGGAGAAAGTTGTATATGAAATAGCATGACTTTCACCTTAAACTGACATCATTCCCATTTATCAATTATGAATGTACTTATTAAAAAGAAACAAGTTGTAGCAGTCAGACTATATTTTGGTTTATTTCTTTCAATAATGTGAATATGAAACATGTATTTATGGATTTATTTGAGTCCCGGTGTGCAAAATTTGTGCAGGGGTAGGATCCATAGGCCTGGCAGGCGATCAGAGCTGACCTGCAGAGTGATTGGGGGGCCCTGCTCATACCCACCCTGGCTGGCCTGGCACTGCCTGCTCACTGGCCCTACACCCCCGCCACCAATGACAGTCGGGGCCTGTGGGCTGGGGGCAGCTTCTGCATTGAACATCTGCACCCTGGTGGTCAGTGTACATTATAGCAACCAATGTTCTGCTGTTTGGTCAATTTGCATATTAGGATTTTATATAGATAGTGTACTAGATTTTAAAAAAATATATATTTTTATTGATTTCAGAGAGGAAGGGAACCAGAGAGAGAGAGATAAAAACATCAATGATGAGATAGAATCATTGATTGGCTGCCTCCTGCGCCGCCCCCTACTGGGGACCAAGCCTGCAACCTGGGCATGTGCCCTTGATTGGAATTGAACCCAGGACCTTTCAGTTCGTAGGCTGATGCTCTATCTATTCACTGAACCAAACCAGCTAGGACTGCAATACTATATTTTTTAAATAAAATTACATTTTTTGACAGATTCAGGAAATTTCTGAGGCATGAGGAAAGTAAATAACTCTTAAGTATTGGCATCTATATTAATGATCAACTAACTCACTAAAAATAAAAAATATGTATACTGCCATAACTTAAAAAAAATTAAAAATAATAAATTGCTTAATATAGAATGCTTATAAATATAGAAAAGCTAAAAAAATATTTTGGTATATGTGATTCTCATATTTTTTCTATTATAAATAGACATTTATGTGTTTTTATATTTTTTCTAGGAAAATAAAATGATCCTATATATTACTATTTGAAACATGTTTTTTCCCCCCACTTAAAACTCATTTCCTTTTGATTTTCATTGTTATAGCTTTTTATTACACCAGAGAGAATAGTACAATGAACCCTCCTATACTTATCACATAGTTTTATCAATTATCAACTTTTTTCTAATTTGACAACTCTTTTAAAACCAAAAGTTGGAGTTTTATGCTTTTTAGATTTGTGATGTTATTCTTACCCAACAATATCCCTGGGAGGTAGGAGTGATTTTCCTATTAGATAGACAGGTAACATCTGAGATTATGTTATCGTTGGTGATGGACTTAGGACTTTTCATGACCCTGTGGAGTCTACATATTTTAAGTTTTTTGGTAACCTTTCGTCTCTCTAATATATTATAGAAACCACATCGTTCTGCAGGAAAATGCACAGCATGCCACCAGGTTCATAGCACTGGCAAATGTTGGAAATCCAGAAAAGAAAAAGGTAAAGATTTTAGTATTTGTTGGTAATAATCATTGTCTGTCTGATAAATGTTTCTCTTTCCTTGTTTAGCATTCATGTCTTCTCTCCTCCCTAATCGCAGTGTCCCAGCACCTCAGTAACTATAACATGCCATACGCAGTGTACATGCAAAAGATTAGCGAATATATATTTTGTCTTTCCCATAATATTTTAAACTTTTAAGCCCAGTGCATTCTTACCAAGTTTAGATAGCTAACATTTTTTGCTGCCTTATAAAGACCGAGTATCATTCATAGTATTTTCTGTTTATTGCTTTACTCTCAGGGATGTGTTAGCCTCAGCCCTAAGCAACTCATACTTCAGTCAGAGAATGTGCACATTTTTAAATTTGGGAGGCATTATTAAATTCATCTCAAAATTTTCTTCCCATTTACACCCCAGCAGCAGTGTATGAGTTTGTTTCCTATCCACATTCTTACTGGGTAGTGCCAAATTTTTACTAGTTTTTGCTATTCTGATAGATGAAGATGGTGTATCATTGTTAATTAGTTAGATTTCCGTGATCAGTAGTGAGGTTAAGCATCTATTCCTATCTCATCTAAGGTTCTCAATAACTGCGTAATTAGTCTGAAATTCTATGTATCCATATGAATATTTACCTCTTTGCTACTAAGAAAATGTATCAGCATATACAGCAGAAATTATGTAATGCCAGAGTAAACACTAATTTGTCCAATTTAGTTTTCATTAGAAAAAAGAAGGGCAGTGCTATGGTTCTGTTGATGAAGTACACAAAGATACAGGACTTAGAGACAGAAGCAGTATGGCTTCAAAGTTTATGGAGCAAATTCTTCTGGGCTTTGTAATGATGGTTGTTTTGCGTAAAGGCGGGTACTTTGACTTGTTACTCATTACTTGTCATCCCTCCGGTTAGCCCTGCAGAGATCACTGAATTGGCATTTGATTTACTAAGTATTCTCCTAGCCACAGGTGGATCAATTGCTGCTTTTCAAATCTTAGTTTCAGAAGCCTCTGTGATATCTTCACAATGAAATATTGTCTACATTTGAATGAACAGTATTTCCCTTAATGTAATTATGTTGTTTTTCTCCAAAGTATCTTTATGCATTCAGCATCGTTCCCATGAAACTAATGGATGCAGCAGAACTGGTAAAGCAGCCTCCAGATGTCACTGAAAACCCTTACAGGAAATGTGGGAAGGAAGCACCAATAGGAAAGCAAATTCCTGCCCCTGAGGTGTGTTCTGATGGAGAGGTAGCGTTTTCTGGGCAGGATTTCCCCTTGCTTGTGCTATAGTTTAATTTATAAGACAAGATTATTCCTTAGAATTGAAATTTTCATTTTCTGTTGGGAAATCAATGGTGATATTTAGAAAACAAAGTAAGCTCCGTGTTGTTGTTGTTTTAATTGTAGTTTGAGCTTAACTTTTCAACTTTTTAAAAAAATCTAGTTGATTATTCTTAACTTTTTAGGCAGGAATCCAACAACTGCTTGGTAGCAATGTAATTTGTGATTTTATGAGTGCTAGTAGGTAAATAAGATTCAATCTGAAGAAATTTCTAAGTAGCAAACTCTACTAAAATTAATTTCTCACTACAGCAAGGAATGTCAAATGAGAGGAAAATTAGTATGCTTTCTCATTTTTTCTTTATGAACAACCTTATCTTTTTAATTAAATCTCAATTAGAGTTCTTTTGACCTGGGGAGTGTAGGACTGCATTGAGAAAGGGAAAGGAATTTGGATGAGTTCATATTTTAGGCAAGAATTGCTCTGTAACTTGGATTTTTAACATGCCTCTTCAAAGCGATGGATTTGGTGGCAGCTGGGATAAATGCTTCTCTAGAATAGGCATGTTCTATGAAAGGGCTGGGAGAAGAGATAGACATTACATGGCAGGAATATTCCTTTGTGTGTGCATGGTTGGCACTTGTCTAGAGGTTAAATAATATATACTTTTCCACCTTTGGCCATTCCAGGAAGAGTCGGCCTGTCAGTTTTTCTTTGATTTAAATGAAAAGCGGGGAAGGAAGCGTTCATCTACAGGCAGAGATAGCAAATCTCCTCACCCAAAGCAGCCTCGCAAACCTCGTAAGTACCTCAGTTCCAGAGGTCTCCTCTGAGCGATCATTGTTATTGTGGTCTTGTTTGGGAAGCAGCATTGCTAAGAGCCTCTTCTGGCAAAAGAAATTGTATAATGAGTCATTAGGACCAATAATAAAAAATGAAATAATGCAAAAATGGCCTGACTTTGAGGCTATCTGAGTCTCTTATGAGAACTATGGAAACTGCTCCTTTCCTTCATGTCTGTAAAACATGAGCTAAACAGCCTATAAAAAAACTAATGTTGGTTCATAAAATAATAGGATAATCAAAATGATAAAAGAGACTTTAAGGCTATTTCATTGAGATACTTTTTTTATTGCTTTAAAAATTTTTTAAAGTATGTTTTTATTGACTTTAAAGGGAGGAAGGGAGAGGGATAGAAAGGTAGAAATATTGAGAGAAACATCGATTGGCCCCTTCCTGCATGCTTCCAGCAGGCATGTGCTCTGACTGGGAATTGAACCTGTAAACTCTTGGTTCATGGGTCAGTGCTCAACCACTGAGCCATATTGGCCAGGTGAGATCCTTTTTATCCACCCCCTCATTTCAAAGATGAAGAAGTTGACCTTGGGAAAGCTTAATGCCCAGGGTCATGTGGCTAGCTAGTGGCAAAATTGGGGCTAAAATTGGGGATCCTGACACCCAGTTCATTGTTCTTTTATTGCAATCTGTTGCCAGTCACATGCTTCTTTAGTCAGTATGTGGTTATCAGTTATGGATTACCTACCTGTGGAAAGGTTACAAATTCAGAATTTTTTCTAATAGAGGTTTAGTTTCATCGATAATGGTGATGGAGTAGTGGTCATAGTGGGGGTACAGCAGGCCCAGCCCATTGTGGCAATGCTGAATACCAGTCTTTGCAGAATATAAAGATCAGACAAGGGTGGTTATATGCTGGAGTCTTTGGACCACTAACATTCAGCTTTCTTCCACATAAAGCTCAGCCTTCAGGACCCTGCTGGTTTTGTCTCGCCAGTCCTGAAGTGGAGAAGCATTTGGTAGTCAACATTGGCACACATGTAAGTTACTTTCTTGGATCTTTTACAGAGATGGCGACATCTGTTTGTTGTGAGTCCATAAACATACTGTAAAATTTACCCACTTTAAGTGTACAATTCAACATTTTTTAGTAAGCTTACCAAGTTGTGCGACCATCACGTAATACAGTTTTAGAACATGTCCGTCACTCCAGTAAGATCCCACATGTCCATTTACAGTACAGTTAATTCCCATTTCCACCCTCATCCCAGGCAAGCACTAGTCTAGTTTCTGTTTCCATGGGTGAACCTTTTCTGGATAGTTCATACAAATGGAATCATAGAATATGTGATCTTTGTATCTGGCTTCTTAGCATAATATCCTTGAGGCTCATCTATGTTGTAGCATTGATCAGTATTCCTTTTCAAACAGTATCCCATTGTATACTACATTCGGTCTATATATTTGTTAATAGATTGATATTTGGGTTGCTTGCACTTTATGGCCATTAGGAATAATGCTGCTGGGAACATGTGCAGGCATGTGTGGACATTTGTATTCATTTCTTTTGGAGAGACTCCCAGGAATGGAATTTATATTTAATTTTTTAAGAAACTGCCAAACTATTTTCCAAAATGACTATACCATCTTAGATTCTCACCAGCAAAATGTTTTCTCACATCCTTGCCAACATTTGCTATTGTCTTTTTTTATTATAGCAGTTCTCTTGTGGTTTTGTAGTGCCATTTGCACAAGGTTGCTCCCCACCTTCCTCCCTCTCTGATAAATAGGTATGGATCTCCTATATACTGTTCAAACTATTTTTATTCCATACTACTAAAAAGTGACAAATTCTCAGTGTTGTCTAGTAGTAGAGGCTATAGCTTCCTAATGACAGGAATCTCCATATCCACATTCCTGACGTGGGTATCTGGGAACCCTGGTAATACTTATAAGGTTGCTTGGTGAGTACTGAATCAGACTATGATCTTAAAGATAATGTTACTTAGGCTGTGGAAAACGCTAATGAAGTATGTGTGTCTCATCCTATTTCACATTTCCCCAGTTACTTTTCCTTGGGGAGGGCTCAATTAGGTATTAAATAATACTAGTCTTTGACCCTCATTTCACTGGGAACCACATAGATCATTATCCCTTTCATCAGCTTTGAATGAAAAAAGCTTATTTTCAGGGTTATAGTTACATCCTTGTATGTCTAGAATTGGCTGTTTCCTGAGGCTCCTGAAAGAAATATTTACAAACCATTTTTTAACGTGTGGTGCTTCTGCAGAAGGATATTTTCATCTGTTTTTCATTAATTTATTCTAATTTTGGTTTCTGAATGTGATATTTTCCTCAACTTAATCCTGACAATCTGAGGGCCTTTTATTGTGGCCTCCTATAGACTGACAGACTAGAATCTCAATTTAAGTTATATCCCTTTCCTGCCTTTGTTGTTTCAGACTCAATAGTCTCAGTCTTTTACATTTAATGTTTATGTACGGGTATGTATTATTAGCATGCTCCTCTCTCTAGGGGGAGCATCGATGGGGTCAAAGCCTGTGACACCATTGGACCACAGAGCTTCTGGATGAACCCATCAGTGAGAAGAGCAAACTTGAAAAGCTCTCGCTTTTTACAAGTATGCCCTTCCTTTTGGATTAGTTTATGACATTCTTCTCTCCCTCACACATTGAATGATAAGGCAGGTTTGACACTGCCTCTCTATTTTGGAGGCTTCAACAGGCTCAAAATGCATGCAGGGAAAAAGAGGTTTGTAATGTTAACTTAGGGGATAATCGAGGAAACCGGTTTGTTTCTCATCTGGGTTTGAAGGTAGAAGGGGCAAAAAAACATCCTGCGCCTTGACTGTGGCCCTGCACCCCAAGGCGGAGGCCACATGAGGATTCTATCGGGTCTAGTAATAATTAATGTCGTTCTCAACATTCGTTTAAAATCTTGCTTGGCGTTGACTTGTATTGACATAACCTTCAAACACGTGGTATCTACAGAACGTGTGAAGTGCAATTAACAAGTTTTGCTTGAAAAAGTTTGTGTTTGGTTTGGTTTTTGTTGCAAAACTAGGGCTAAGAAGATGGCTGATGAAGAGCATATTCGGCACTGCATGCTTTACGAGTTCCAATTAGGAAGAAAAGCAAGTGAGGCTGCAAAAAACATCTGTAGTGCTCTTGGTCAAGATGCAGTTAGCGCCAGAAAATGCCAGCGTTGGTTTGAGAAATTTCGCGAGGGAAATTTTTCGTTAGATGACAAGAGTGGTCGAGGCCGTGTGTCCAGTTTTGATCAAGAAGCTCTTCAAGCTCTTTTGGTGCAAAATCCTCAAATTACCCAACAAGAGCTTGCGACAACTTTAAATTGTTCACAAAAAACAATTTCCAAACAATTGCGTGCACTTGGCAAAGTCCAAAATTTTGGAAAATGAGTTCCTCAGGAGTTGACCGACAACAACCGTAATCAAAGAGTCACAATTTGCAGTTCGCTCCTCTCTCGTCAGAATCGTTTGCCGTTTTTAGAGCAAATTATTACCGGAGATGAAGAATGGGTGCTGTATGTTAATTTGAAAAGGCGGCCTCAATGGTTGGACAAAAATGAGGCTCCGCAGCCCACGCCAAAACCTGACTTGCTTGCGAAAAAAGTGATGTTGTGTGTTTGGTGGAATTTTAAAGGAATTCTTCATTATGAACTTTTACCATCTACCCAAACCATTACAAGTGCAGTGTATAGTGCCCAATTGGAAAGGTTAGCCCAAGCTTTAAGAGAAAAAGAACCCGCGCTGATTAATCAGAAGGGAGTAATTCTTCACCGCGATAACGCACGACCGCATACTGCAAGAATCACTGCTGAAAAACTGCGCCAGTTGGAATGGGAAGTTCTCCCTCAACCTGCATATTCTCCTGATATTGCCCCTTCCGATTACCATTTGTTTCGTTCTTTGCAAAACTTTCTTCTTGGAAAAAAATTTAATAATGAAGAATGCCTCAAAAATGCATTGACCGAATTTTTTGCATCAAAATCACAAGAATTTTACAACAGAGAGATTAAAATGCTTCCTGAGCGTTGGGCACAAGTAGTAGAAAACAACGGCAACTATATTGTTGATTAAATTTTGTTGTATTGTTTAAATTCGATTTTAAAAAGTATTAGAAAACGACATTAATTATTGCTAGACCTAATAGCACCTACCTAATAATCAAGTCTACGCTTACCAGTACTGTCCTTTGGTGGGAACCTCTTGGGAACCTCTGGTGACCTTTGGTGTTTGGCAAAGGGTTTGCAATAATCTCCTTTCATTACTTTTCCCCTCTGGCTTTCTATCTTTGCCATGCCTTCCTCTAGAAACATACATACACCTATGCTAATGGCCCATGGCCACAACTGGTAAAAGGAGGGGAAGCTGCTAAAAGTCCAAAATAGCCGAAACCGGTTTGGCTCAGTGGATAGAGCATCGGTTTGTGGACTGAAAGGTCCCAGGTTCGATTCCGGTCAAGGGCATATACAGTGGTTGCAGGCACATCCCAGTGGGGGGTGTGCAGGAGGCAGCTGGTTGATGATTCTCTCTCATCGATATTTCTCACTCTCTATCCTTCTCCTTTCCTCTCTGTAAAATATCAATTAAAATAAATAAATAAATAAAGTTGTTGACTTGAAAAAATTTAAAAAATAGAGACCGGTTTGGCTTAATGGATAGAGCGTCGGCTTGGGGACTGAAGGGTCCCGGGTTCGATTCCGGTCAAGGGCATGTACCTTGGTTGTGGGCATATCCCCAGTAGGGGGTGTGCAAGAGGCAGCTGATCGATGACTCTCTCTCATCTCTATATCTCTCCCTCTCTGTACAAAATCAATAAAATATATATATATTTTTTAAATTTAAAAATAAATAAATAAATAAAAATAAAAGTCCAAAATAACTCCTTTGAAGCCAATACATTTTCATATGGGGGAAGCATTCATTTAGGTCCTATTTATACATTTGAGATACATTCAGATACATAATTCAGTATAGAACAGATTAAAAGGTGAGAGTTTGAAAAGAAGGAAGGAGATTAGGCAAATGTGAAACTATTCACACGAACTGGAAGGTACTGTATTGGGGATTGGTAGTTAGTGTAAACTAGAAAGCTTCAGTAGCCTCAATGCACATCATAATATAAAAACTGCTATTTATGACAGTGACCCTTTGATATAAAGAAAAGTCTAGAAGATGCAAGCTTTTGGAGTAAGCTTTAAAAAAAGTGGTTATTGTAAAAATTAAGAAAATGCATTAGTGCTTATGAAATTTTGATGAATTTTAGTCATCTCGAAAGTTAACTGTAGATGTACTCAATTCTCTATGCCAAGTAGATCAAGGATGATCATACGTTAGTTTGTTTCCACTACCTATTTTGTCATTTTATTGGACTTTCTCAATAAATGACTCCTACTTTCAGCCTTAACTTTGAACCTGCCACACTAAAAGTATACTTTGGATATAGTACCGCCATTTGCATTTGTATGCATTGGCTTTTCTCTATTCACTGTGTTGTTTTCCTTTCAAAGAATGAGTGTAGAGAGGTCTGATGTTTTGGTTTTGACAGATTTTTAGTTGCTTTTTAGCTGCCAGTATCCATTGTTGGAACAATAGTTTTCTACCTTTTTGGATACAGTTGGCTTTGAAGTTTCTCATTCTTCCTTCAATCCGTTAGGTCATGTTTGCTTTCATTTTGTAGAGGTTAGTCAGCATCTTAAGGCGTAGGACATTGGATGCTAATCATGTCATCTGAGCTCTTTTTGTGAGCCTGTGCATGTATTTGCGGTAGGATGGGATGGATGTTACTGTGGGGAGAGTGGTCATTTGAAAGCAGAGTGGGTGGGCTCTTTCTGTGGCTAAAGGTAATAGTAACTGAAAAGTTGTTTTGTTTTGTTTAAGTTTGGAGCCTAGAAAGGAAAACCAACTGTTTGTTCTGGTCCTTTTTTGGCTCTGGTGTGTCTGAAGGCAAAAGTCTGTTTGTGTGTTCTCATTTGCTCCCAATTCATTTGATATTTGCATAGAAATTTGTTGCATCCAATCTCATTCTTCAGCAGGTACTTGGGGACATGATTGTTGTAATCTCTAAATTGGATTTTTAAAAGTTGAAGAATTTCTATTAATAGCCTCTTGAGCTGTTTTTCCACACACCCCAGCCTCACTCTTTGTATCAGCTTTCTCCCTGAAGAACCATACATGCAGTATTGATTTCTCACTTCTGTGTGCTTCATCTTCAGTGCTACCTTGCTCTGGCCAAAGGAGGCTTATCTGATGATCATGTCCTTATCCTGCCCATTGGACACTACCAGTCAGTGGTGGAGCTTTCCGCAGAGGTGGTGGAAGAGGTGGAGAAGTATAAGGCTACATTGAGAAAGTTTTTTAAGAGTCGAGGGAAACGATGTATTCTATTTGAGAGAAATTATAAGAGCCATCACCTCCAGCTACAGGTAAGTGGTCTCTGCCCAAGAACTTGGAAGGACCATGTGGGGACCTAGATATTGATAAAAATTTAAATAGTGCTAATTTTAATAATTATTTTTATTAATGTTTAAGTATTAGATTCTAATGTAAAACTAAATATATTTAAATTTTTAACGTGAATTTTCATATTAATATTCAGGTAATGTTCATTTAAAAGGTTAAAGAGTCTCTGGTGATAACTCCAGAGAATTCACAAGGAAGTGCATGGTCAGTATAAGTGAATTGCACAGACAGTAAGTACCTTGTTCAGAAAAGGAATGGGTATTTGAGGAAGGTTCCAAGAAAAATTTGGGCCTTGATAGGTAGTTTGGAAGAGGTTAGGTATTTTATGTGAAGCCCAACATGAGTGACTGCTCAGAGGTAGGAAACAGTCTCAGAGCCTGTGGGGCTAGCAGCTCAGTAATTTGGAGAGTGTTATGGATAATTTGTTTGTAGTTGTGGTGGTTTTCTTTCTGGCACATTTGTTAAGTTTTCAAATGGGCCTGACTCTGCCACATATATTATATAGGAGCTGGGAAAGGCTTGATGATAAGATCTCTCTCTAACCTTTCCTGCATCAGAGATTGGCTCCCACATGTGCAAGCTATCTCATAAGTTTAAGTCCTTACAGACAGGCTGACATGGACCTGTCTGGCCTGAGGAGAATCTCTTCTGAGGGGTGTTTCTCCACCCCTGTGATGGATTTGCTATCTCTCAAGAACTGCAGGAGGCATGACCTCTCTGGGACCTATATGAAAACTTTTTCCTATCCGCCCCCACCCCCACCCCCACCCCAGGTTGTTCCTGTGCCACTCAGCCGCTGTGCTACTGATGACATTAAAGACGCCTTCATTACCCAGGCACAAGAGCAGCAGATAGAGCTGTTGGAAATCCCAGAGCACTCTGACATCAAGCAGGTAAAACAGAAGGACAAGGTGATGTTCAGGGAGAAGTAAAAACCTGGTTTCTGACACATGGAGCCTGAGGTACCATCAAGGCATTCCAAAAGCGTTAAAGACAGATGACAGTTTGGAACAAGAGCTTGGAGTTTTTATTAGACTGGAGACAAATATGGCATTACAGCAATGCCTCAGTACTTTCAGGGAAAAACAAGAAATGAGAAACTTCCTAAGGCAGGAACTTAGAAAGACGAGTGCCACTGGGAGGGTCTTGCAATATCTGCCAGTTTGGCTTTTTAAACTCAAGTTCCACTGAATGGCTTGGGATCTATAGCTGCTTACATCCTTTGTGCTTCTAGACTGAATTCTTTGCCAAATTAAAACTTCGAAGAGATGAGCCAGGTTTTTGATTTTTAAAGCACTATTATATGTCCTCATGCAACTCTGTTTACTTTAGATTGCACAGCCAGGAGCAGCATATTTTTATGTTGAACTTGACACAGGAGAGAAGCTTTTCCACAGAATTAAAAAGAATTTTCCTTTGCAGTTTGGAAGGTTTGTATAGTTTTCTTATTTTAAATGTATTTTCACTTGACCTACTCTGAACAAAGTAGTGGGCTGCATGGACAGTTAAATAAAAAGCCAAATAAGAAAGAATTCTTGCCCCAAGGAAGTAATAGTCTTAGAGCAAGTCAGATATTTACATATATGACAGTAATGTGAAAAGTGCCTTAAGTTTAGGAACAATATTTCAGAAATTTAGAGACAGTGAGCTCATGTTTAATATGTGAAAGGCTTCAGGAAAGGATTGAGGCTGAGACTGAGAGATTTAGAGGGTAAACTTTGGACTGTCAAAATTCTAGCCCGAGTGAATAAATGCCTCCATTAATTGAATACATGCTCTGGGTCAGGTATTGTGCCAAGAACTTTACATGCATTGTCTCATTTAATCTTCCCAATTCTGTAAGGTAGGTAGTGGCATCTCAGTTTACCACTATGGAAAATGAGACTTTAGAGCAGTACCCAACAGACTTTTTACATGATGGAAATACTCTGTAAATCTGCACTGCCCTGTGTAGTAATCACTAGCCACAAGTGGCCACTGAGCACTTGAAATGCGGCTAATGTGACTGAGGAACTGCATTTTTAATTTAAATTAATTGGGATTAAAATTTAAATGTCTGTATTTGAGTACTGGCTCCTATAATGGACAACATGGCTCTAGAGTGGTTAGTAACTTGTCCATGGTCACTGGAAGGTTCATATCCAGGCCTGATGAACCACAAAATATGAGGTTTTAACCTCATTATTCTGTACTGTCCTGAAGGTTGGGATGGGACTTCTTGTGGTGGCCATCTTGTGTCCACATGGGGCAGCAATCTTGTGTGATAGAGTGATGGTCAGTCTGCATATCACTCTTTTATTAGATAGGATAGAGGCTTGGTGCACAGGTGGGGGCCAGCTGGTTTGCCCTGAAGGGTGTCCCGGATCAGGGTGGGGATTCCCATGGGACGTGGGGAGGCTTGGGTGAGGGGCCAATGGTGGTTTGCAGGCCGGCCACGCCCCCTGGCGACTCAAGCGGAGGCCCTAATATCTGGGGTTTATTTATCTTATACAATTGAAACTTTATAGCTTGGAGTGGAGCCAGGCCTTCTGCCTGCTCTGTGGCAGCAGCCATTTCTGTTGGGGTTTATGTATCTTCTATAATTGAAACTTTGTAGCCTTAAGTGGAGGCTGGACAGGCCAGGAGGTGCAGAAAGCTTGGTTTCCTCCATTGCCAGGGGCAACCCAGCCTGCTCTTTCCAGCTCTGTGGCTGCCGCCATTTCTGTTTGGATTTGTTTACCTTCTCTAATTGAAACTTTGTAGCCTTGAGTGGAGGCCTAGGCCGGCAAGGGCAGGTGGAAAGCTTGGCTTCCTCCATTGCCTGGGAAAACCCAAGCCTCTCTCCTGTTCTCTGTGGCTGTAGCCATCTTGGTTGGGTTTATTTGCATATCTACTCTTGATTGGCTGGTGGGCATGGCATATTGTAGTGGAGTGATGGCTAATTTGCATATTACTCTTTTATTAGATAGGATATAAAGGGCTAAGTTAACTTGCACATGCGTGATACATATAAAGCTCTTGCTGGTGTCAATCGCACGGTGTGTTTCCATCTGTCATTGTTGATCATGAATTTGGTTGACGCTTCTATTATAGAGAAAGGGTGAATTTCTTCTAATTAATTTCCTTTCAGTGTGCATGAATTCATGCACCGGGCCACTAGTTGTAGAATAAAGCTGGTTCTATATTCATTTTACAGATGAAGAAGTTGGTTCAAGGTTTGCATACGCAGGTAGAAATTATGCTCACGTCCTTTGAACATAATTAGGAGATTCATGTGATTTGTTTTCAGCTCTTCTATTTATTGTATTATAGCTTCAAAGTGAAAAATAAACCATGTATATGCACAAGTAGTATTTATAATATAGCAAAATAAATAAAAACAAATATAAAGCAGTGACAATTAAAAGCTATATTGTATATGTGACTGAAAGTAGTTGTTTTTTAATTCTAAGAACCAAGACAAATTGTTGTGAGTTTTTTTTATTTGTTTTGTTGAGCCTGTGCTATTGTGTCTATGTAGGCTTGTGTTCTCTAAAAGGAGGCATAAAGTCAGAGTGGGTTATAGTACTAGGTGGTTGACTCTGCACCATGCTCTTAGCAAACTCACGGTCTAATTCAGATGACAAAACTAGAGTTTAAGGTAGGGTGTAATAATCACAGCTAGTTTGGTGCTTTGATTGTGTTATGTCTATCCCTCACAAAATCCTTATTTTGCATTTCATAGGTAAGAAAATCAAGACTCAGGGATGAAATAATTTGTTCAAGTCATAGACTAGCAAGTGGCAGAACTAGGAATGGAGTTGTCTCTGATATTCTGGCACCAGGGTCTGCCCTCATCCTCCTGTGCCATGTTGCTTCTCTAAGTACCAAGTTGTTCAGAGAAGTGAATGGGATTTGAGGGGTTAAGAATGAGGTAGGACCTGAGCTGGTCACTTAAAATGGGTATGATTTTGAGAGAATGGCAGAGATGGCACTCAAGACAAGAGAAAATGGTATGAGTAAAGTCAGAGGAGTTTGCATGCCTTCTTTGGGCGATGCTGAGGAAAGCTCTCCGCAGACAGGAGGGGGCCAGGGGTGGTTTAAATTGTTTCTATTATGACTTCTTTGTGCTCTTTTTGCAGGGAGGTCCTGGCAAGTGAAGCCATCCTTAATATTCCTGACAAGTCTGACTGGAGGCAGTGTCAGATCAGCAAGGAAGAGGAGGAGACCCTGGCTCGCCGTTTCCGCAAAGACTTTGAGCCTTTTGACTTCACTGTGGATGACTAAGCAAAGGGACAGGCACTTGATGAACTTCACAGGAAGTAGTAGCAGCCTGTGTTTTAAAGAAACTAATCTCCCATGGGGACTGTTTCCATGCCTCTTTTTGGTGCATTCCCATGGAACCTGTCTGCAACAAGAGGCCTAAGATGGAATATTTTTCAGAAAACATCACATTTGAGGATGAAAATTTTATGTTAAAAAACATATCTGTCATCCAGCTCCAAGTACAGCTTTTGTTTATCAATATTTTCAAAAACACTGAAATTATCAAATAAAATCCAGATGCTTTTCTATCCTTGGGAGGTGCCTTATCTTTATGTTATCTGTAACCATTGAAATGAAGTAAGGTGTGTGTCTAATAGGAGGAACCAGGGCTGTAGGCCCAGTTGTTGTCCCAGGATCTCACAGGTGACTTCTCCCTAAGCAGCTTAGGATGGAGAAGGGACACAGGGCCTTTGCCATTTTTTTCTTTCTTTTTTAATATATTTTATTGATTATTTACAGAGAGGAGGAGAGAGGGATAGAGAGCTAGAAATGTCGATGAGAGAGAAACATCGACCAGCTGCCTCCTGCACACCCCCTACTGGGGATGTGCCCACGACCAAGGTACATGCCCTTGACCGGAATCGAACCCGGGACCCTTCAGTCTGCAGACCGACGCTCTACCACTGAGCCAAACCGGTTTTGGCCCATTTTTCTTATAGCATTCATTTTATTGATATAAAAAAGCTTCTTCAGTCTTTCAGCATATACTGAACGCCTATGTGCCAGGCATTTTTCTAAGCTCTAGGAGGATAGCCATGTCCTAACATGGTCTCTGTTGTCCCAGAATTTATAGTCTAATTAGGAAGATAAGGAACATATTTAAGAAGAGTTCTACTTTAGATATGTTGAGTTTTGGTGAGCTGTTGGATAGTTATAAACTCATGGAGTTCTAGATTGGTGATAGGGCTTTGGGGCTCATCAGGGTATTGGCCACAAGTGAAATGATGAGAATGGATGAAAAGATAGAGTGAATACAGTCCAAAGCTGAAGATGACTACCTTGGAAGTAGAGTGACCCAACAAGTGTATGGAGAAGGAGCAGAGACAGACTTTACAGGAGAATGGGTATCTTGAAAGCCAAAAGAAAAGGAATTGCTCCTATATATTGGACACTTATGGCCTAGACACTATTTCATTTAATCCTCACAAAATATCTGTGAGGTAGGTACTATTACCTCCATTTTATGCATGAAAAAACAGATTGGCCAACTTGAATTTATGGAGCCCATCTCTCAGCCCAGGATTAAAAAAAAACAAAAACCTATGCAATATCCATGTGAATGGGATGTTCAAAGAGGGAGCTATAGGAAACCAGGTTCCTGCAAAGATCAGGGTCAGTCCAATCCTCAGAATCCTCAGTCCTCAGCATGTCTCCCTGGATCTTCCAAGTGATAGATTTCAGCCACACCTGTGGAGATCGGACACTCCAGTGTCACCTAGCAAATGATAATACAATCTACATCACAGTCATCAGTGCAGGCTGCCCAGCTCTAAGGTATGTATTCTTAGAGGTGCCATTTGCAATCACCTCCAAGTCTGATACTTCAGCTCCATGGTTACCAAGCACATAGAGAAATCAGAATTTCCAATACCACACACATGACTGTTCCAATTATAACATGACTTGCTTTGTATCATGCACTGCTCAACAATCTGATTGCACTATTCAAGGATTTTGATGACAAGAGACACATTTGCTCTACCAGATGCAGATTCCGTGCTTTCAAAGTATTGTGGTGCAAACAATGTACCCATCTTTAAACATCTTACATGTTACATCAGGTGTGTCACGAAGTGTTGGTAGGAATTCCAAGTACTGAGTTCATAGGCTAAGATGTGGAAAGGATGTTCCAAGTGTACATGATCTCAAAGGACACTCAAATGACCGGCTTAACGCAACTTATAAATTTCTTCAGAGAATTTGATTCCATGCTGATTGTCACACTTGAAGTGATTAAGGAGATGCCCCAATTATGGGACTGTATGACCCACTCAAAGCAAAACTGGGGAGCTGATTCCCCTAAGCTAACGGAATCCGCCACTGGATGGACTTCCTATTGCACCAACAGTATTCCCGAACCTTTCTTCTGCACCCTGGGTCACGTATGACACAATCTCCACAATGAGAAACTAGAGCCACTGGCAAACCCATAACGTGACAGCAAGCTCTGTGAGGCATTTGGGGGAAAGCTCCCGAAATCAGAAGCAACATTCTTTTTTTTCTTTTTTTAAATATATTTTTTAGTGATTTTTTACAGAGGAAGGGAGAGATACAGAGAGCTAGAAACGTCGATGAGAGAGAAACATCGACCAGCCGCCCCTTGCACACCCCGCACTGGGGATGTGCCAGCAACTCAGGTACATGCCCTTGACCGGAATCGAACCTGGGACCTTTCAGTCCGCAGACCGACGCTCCGCCACTGAGCCAAATCGGTTTCGGCAGAAGCAACATTCTTTACTGTGGAACAGCATCACATCTTTGAGTCGTTTGGGTTTACAGGGGCTATCCTGGGACAGTGTATACAAGTCAAGCAGAAGAGCTGAGCCTGGCTAGCGTATGGAAGATAATAATTTAATTTTAAAAAAAGGCGAACTATGAAGACTAATGCATCAGTGGGCCTGTTAGCGCAGGATTCTTTCTAATTCTTCAGATTCCTCAATATTTAAATCACTTTAAGGGCCTTGGCCTTTGCCAGCTCAGCGGGTGACGGGTTGATGAATAGACTAGAGGTGTGAAGGTGACAGGTAGTCGGGTGGAGACCAATATGGACAGACTGGTTTGGAAAGTGATTGGAAGGGAACATACGGCCTGGAGAGATCTTACACTTTTGGAGACTGGGGTGGGGGTGGGGGAGGAGAGTGGGTTCTCTCAGCTAGGAAAATGTCCGGGACACTCACCAGGTGCAAAGTGCCCACCTTTCCTGCCCACCTTCACTCCCGCTGGGTAGCGGCGGATCCTGGGGGAAACGTGGGCGGGGCTTGCCCTGTGGCAGTTACCGGAAGTGACGCGTCGCTATCGCGAGAAGAAAGGCGCGCGAGCCTCCGCGCCCCGGAACCGGCCCTGGAACAGCGGTGGACTCCGAGGCCGCTCGCCCTCCCGCCCCATGGAGCGGCCCCCGGGGCTGCGGCCGGGCGCGGGCGGGCCCTGGGAGATGCGGGAGCGGCTGGGCGCCGGCGGCTTCGGGAACGTCTGCCTGTACCAGCATCGGGTGAGGCGGCGCGCGGGGGAGCGGCGGCGGCGGCGGGGGCAAGTGTGAGCGTCTGTGGAACCCCGCGGCTGTCAGTTTGTGAAAGGTTGTCTGTGAGACCGAGGGCAGTGTTGTGGGCCAGGGATCGCGCGTGTCTGTGGGTGGGTGCGTGTGTGTGTGTGTAAGAAAGAGAGATTGTGAGCGTGCGTGTGTGTGTGTGTGTGTGAGAGAGAGAGAGAGAGAGAGAGAGATTGTGAGCCTGTGTGTGTGTGTGTGTGTGTGTGTGTGTGTGTGTGTGAGAGAGAGAGAGAGAGAGAGAGAGAGAGAGAGAGAGAGAGAGAGAGAGATTGATTGATTGTGAGCCAGATGATTGAGGTACTAGGTTTGCGTGTGTGAGAACTATTAGGGAGAATTCATAGTATAAGTGTCAAGATGAGAGAGACCAGGTGTTTACGAGTGTGACAGTGTGTATGTGTCCCTGTGAATGCAGAGTGTAAGGGTGGGTGAAGCGCATGCACATCAAGAGTGTGCACGAGGGGATGAGAAAAGGGGGCCGAAGAGGGGGTTCCCGTTGGACTGTGTGTGTGCTTGGAGACCATGTGATGTCAGTGGGGCTGGAGGCGACAAAGAAGGTTTCATGGTGGAGCCACAGTTAAGCTTTTGGAAACATAGGTAGGCTTTGGAATTGGAAATAGGTTCCAGGTGGGGAACAGTATGAGGAGCCACTGCTGAATGTGATCCTGGTTTCACCATGTAAAGGAGATAGATTGAGGGTGAGATGCTCTAGTTTAGTGGATGGAAGACAGCTAACATCCCACTTGGGAATTTTGCATTGATTTAATAAAAAAAATGTTTAACCAATGTAGCAGCAGTTAATAATCATGTTTGTCTTTTTGATGCACCTATAAAAATAGAACCATTTTCTCAGGAAAAAATGTAGAGGCACATCCATGCAACTTTATGCATTGCTATTTGAGAAGTTCATGCTTTCCTGAAAGACATTCACAGAACTTTTTGATGTATAGACCCTGGACTAATGACCCTGCCTTATACCCTTTGTTTGGGCATCTGTAAAATGGTTACAACAGTGTATACGAGTCTGTTTGAGAGTTAAATAAGATAATGTGTGTAAAGCTAAGTACAGTATCTGGCCCATGATAAGCCCTTAGATATTAGCTCCGCTGCTGCTTTGTTGTTGATATCATCATCATCATCATCATCAATTGACATTAAAAAAGGAAATGCCAAGATGAAAGTGATGTTCTCAGATTTTTTTTGTGTGAAAGATAATCTGAGTGGAAAAATATATGGCACAAGATGAGCAGTTAAGATATTACTAAAATGCTTGCAATTGGCCTATGAATGGAGAAGTGAATTCAAGAGAACAAATCATGATTGATTGCCTTTTTTTCTTCTTCTTGGAATCTAATGATTTGTTGTCTTAAAAAATATGGTTGTGGGAGGAGAGCCCATAATATAGGGTGGGAAGTAGGGGAGATGGGAGTGTATCTGTGTAGGAATAGGATGTCTGTGTGACAGTTACAATGACAAATGTCACTGATAGAACTGAGAAAACTTTGTGAGGTTGGTTTTCAGATAGAGCATATGAGAAAATCTTGGAGAGAGGGAGAATGGAAGGTGAGAACTAAGGCATTAAATACTTTGCCAGTCAGACAACTAACTAGTAAATTTAGCAAGTATTACCATCAGAGAGGACATAAAGGCACTCAAAGAGAAAAGAGGGGGAAGCCAAGTACTTCCAGTGGATGTTGCCTGTGGCCTTTTTATCAAAGCCTGACCATCAGAAAAAATTTGTATGCATTCTGGCATGTTTCATTACTGCTTTTCTTGGTCCTTGGCTGGGGGTGGATGAATATATCACTTAAAATTTTAAAAAGTATCTATAACATAAAGTTAGCGATTTTAACCATTTTTAAGTGTACAGTTCAGTGGCATTAAGGACGTTGTTGTGCAATCATCACCACCATTCCTTTTCAGAACTTTTTCATCTTCTGAAACTGAAACTGTACCCATTAAACAGTAACTACCCATTTCCTCCTTCCTGGAAGCCCAGTAAACCAACATTCTGCTTTCTGTCTCTATGGAATGTATCACTTTTTAAATGGAAGAGATTTGAGTCTTCTGAAATCTTAGAAGTTTTTCAGGAACTGTCTAGGTGTCCAGAGTGGACTTCCCCCAAACTGGGACATTTGACAGCTGAACATGTATTAAATAGAGAGGAGCCTGCCTGGCTTAGCTCAGCAGTTGAGCATCGACCCAGGAACCAAGAGGCTGCTGGTTTAATTCCTTGGTCATGGTCAGTGCACTGCCTGGGTTGCCGGCTCCATCCCTTGTGTGGGGGTGTGCAGGAGGCAGCCGATCAATGATGTTTCTCTCTCTTCGGCGTTTCTTATCTCTTTATCCCTCTCCCTCTCTCTCTAAAAACAAAACAAACAAACAAAAAACCAATAAAGATATTTATTTTAAAAAAGAAGAATAAATACCCTGTCATATGACATGGAAGCAGCTTCATTGCTTTTCCAAGCCTGACTTACAATTTGCATTTGCAACTTTCAAGATCCTTGTATTTTAGTAGAAGCCACATCTCAGTATTTCATTTACACCTCTTAAATCACTGTAAGGAAGAGTAAAGGATGTGAGATAGTTTATTTACTATGTGAGATAGTTGATTACTGTGCTGGAGGCTGCTGGTGCCCAAGTCAACAAAAACAGTATTTTCTTTCCTCAAGGAGATTTCCAGTCTAGTGGGAATGGTAGACACGGAAACACCTTTAAGTACAATTAACGATGTAATGGAGAAAGGCAAAGTAATCAAAGAACACTTGCTAGGGAATAGGGTAACACTTCTCAAGTGTATTTGGAAAAACTAATCCCATGAAACACTTTGAAAAAAGGGTACTATAGTCAAATAGTTGGATAAATGCTGCATATATAAAACTAGAGGCCCGGTGTACGAAATTCTTGCACGGGGGGTAAAGGGGAGGTGTCCCTCAGCCCTTCCTGCACCCTCTCCAATCTGGGACCCCTCGGGGAATGGCCGACTGCTGGCAATCAGGCATCCCTTTCACAGTCTGGGACTGCTGGCTCTTAACTGCTCACCTGCCAGCCTGATCACCCCCTAGCCACTCTCCTGCCAGCCTGATTGACACCTGCTTCCCTGCCAGCCCAATCGCCCCCAACTGCCCTCCCCTGCCAGCCCGATTGCCCTAACTGCCCTCCCCTGCCGGCCTGGTTGCCCCCAAATGACTTCCCCTGCCAGCCTGGTCCCCCCCAACTGCCTTCCCCTGCCAGCCTGGTCACCCCCAACTACCTTCCCCTGCCAGCCTGATCGCCTCCAACTCCTCTCCCCTGTTGGCCTGATCTTACCCCCAATTGCCCTCCCCTGCCAACCTGATCTCCCACAACTGCCCTCCCCTGCTGACCATCTTGTGATGATGTGAGGGTGACCATTTTGTGGCTGCCATCTTGTGAAGACATCGCCTGAGGATTCCTTCATTTGGAGCATCATAATCCACATTAGCATATTACAAGTTTTGAGAACTCCGATAGTAAAGAAACTAATTTAATTAAATATTTTCCATTTTTTATTGTGGTAAAATAAATATAACACAATTTTAACTCTTTTTAAGTGTACAGTTCTGTGGCATTAAATACACTGTACAAAATTGTACATTATTGTATAACCATCACTATCTGTCTCTAGAATATTCCCATTTTTTAAAAAAGTACGTTTTGGTTTTTTTTCCTGGACATCTACAAACTTTCCACAGAACATTCTTTGTGAAAAGTAGAGTGAGGAAGGCCTTTAAGAATAGGTGAAATAGCCCAGTGATTGAGCCGCCACTGAGGACTCAGCAGCCTCCCCCTTGAACTCTCTCTTCCCAATGCTTTGTCCCCCCTGCCCGCCTTCTCCCACCTCAGACTTCTGCAAGTCATTTCCACTGAGGAAAAGGAATCATATCGTATGTCCCCTATCCAGAGACTCCACTCTTTCGACCCCTTTGCTGATGCAAGTAAGGGTGATGATCTGCTTCCCTCAGGCACAGAGGAATATCTATATACACCGTATTTTTCCGGCGTATAAGACGACTTTTGAAATGAAAAAAAGTCAACCGAAAATCGGGGGCAAAAGACCAAAATTGCACAAAAATTACCTGCAAATCTTGATGGCAAAGTAGGTCTTTTCTTTGAAGTGGGGGGTAGTCTTATGCAGCGAATATAGGCCTAAACCTATGTTTTAACTGTAAAATTAGGGGGTCGTCTTATATGCCGGAAAATACTATAAAAGGCTAAGTGACCGTCACAACTGAACGGACAACCGAACAGGCTGCATGGGGCAACCAGGCTGGCAGGGGGGGACAGTTGGGGGCAATCAGGCTGGCAGGCAGAGGCAATAGGGGTGATCAGGCAGGCAGGTAGGCAGGTGAGCGGTTAGGAGCCAGTAGTGCAGGATTGTGAGAGGGATGTCTGATTGCCGGTTTAGGCCTGATCCCCGGGATCTGGCCTAAATTGGCAGTTGGACATACCCCGAAGGGTCCCAAATTAGAGAGGCTGCAGGCTGGACTGAGAGGACCCCAGCCCACTCCGTGCACGAATTTTGTGCACCAGGCCTCTAATATCCATATAAGAATTCAACAGAATTGGCAGAAAGACCTTTACTACTGTCCCAGGGATTGCTGATGTTTACGATAAAAGAAACTAGTGAAGGCTTCTAAGAAGAAATTTGCCTACAATGGTACTGTAATTGAGCATCCAGAATGTGGAGAAGTAATTCAGCTGCAGGGTGACCAGTGCAAGAACATATGCCTGTTCCTCGTCGAGGTTGGACTGGCTAAGGACGACCAGCTGAAGGTTCATGGGTGTTAAGTGCTTTTGGCTCACTGAAGCTTAAGTGAGGATTTCTTTGCAATGAGTAGAATTTCCCTTCTGACCCTTGTCACAAGTTTAAAAACCTCACAGCTTGTATAATGTAGCCATTTGGGGTCTGCTTTTAAGTTGGACCAGTGTAACTCCTTCATGCAATAAACTGAAAAGAGCCATGCTGTCTAGTCTTGAAGTTCCTCATTTAAACAGAGGTCAGGCAGTAGGCGCCTGGCTGTGTCCAGCCTGAAACAGCAATACCGTGATGTTTCAGCCAAGCCTATGCCTGGCCAAATCTCCTCAGCAGAGTTCCCTGCCCTCAGAGAATGTCACTGCCTGAACAGTCTTCTGTGAAGCTGAGAGGGAGAGGGGTTAGGCAGCAGTGCCATGCGCACCACTAGAGGGAGCCCTCCATAGTCGAAGATTTCCCCCTGACCAGGTGGATGGGGTTTAGAGCAGCCTGCCACCTTCCCTCCAGTGAGGTGTAAGGACTTCGGGCTTGCCTGACATATCCTAGCTAATTGTTGTCCAAACACCGTAGTAATTTGACCTGACATATCCTAGCTAATTGTTGACCAAACACCATAATTTGAGGCCAATCTTCTATCAGAGTTAAACTTTTGACAAGGGAACAAATTTCAAACTGAAATGTCAGTCATGTAGCTAGCTATAGAGCTTGCAACTTTCTACATAGCAACAGCTGCCCAATGCCATATGAAGTAAAAAAAAAAAAAAAAAGAAAGATAGAAAGAAAGAAAAAAAAGATTTTTGGGTGTTTTTTTTTTCTTCCCTCATTCAGTTTGTTTTTTTTTAAATATATTTTATTGATTTTGTACAGAGAGGAAGGGAGAGAAAGCTAGAAACATCGATGAGAGAGAGTCATCGATCAGCTGCCTCTTGCACACCCCCTACTGGGGATATGCCCGCAACCAAGTTACATGCCCTTGACCGGAATTGAACCCAGGTCCCTTCAGTCCCCAAGCTGACGCTCTATCCATTGAGCCAAACCGGTCTCGGCCCCTCATTCAGTTTTAATGTTATGTATTTAAACCCTAATTTAAATAAAAATTGTTTTCAGAAACAAACAAACAAACAAACAAAGAAACAGAGTAGGTGAAATAGAAACTGAGGAGTTGAAGGGTCTTACAGAATGAGGTTTTTTTGAAAAAACTTCCTGCCTCAGTCATATGAGAATCTGGGTTTAATATTTATGTTTGTACCAAATCATTTCCATGGTGGCAAAAGTTTACTTGGGATGTAGCTGCAATAACGTAGTACCTGATTAAAACTAAAGATTGAAAGGCACGAGGACTGTGGTTAGGCTAGACCAGTGGTTCCCAACCTTTTTTTGGCCATGCCCTACCTAAGCATCTCTAAAATCCTGATGTCCCCCTCCCCATGACATATAATTCTTATTATTCAAAAAGAGAACTCCTGTTCATGTGGAAGAAGCCTACAAGGACCGTTAACTTGATCTAAACAAAGAACATGGCGTCCTTCAAAGAGAAAAATACAAGTACAAAAGGACAGTTGAAGTGCCAAGGAAGAATTCACTAAGAAATTATTTTAAAAATAATATGAAGAGATATGAAAAAATAGCAAGTAAAGTTTTAAAACAATAGAGAACTGAAATACATAAATATGTCACTATATATTTATATACTGTATGTGAGGTCCCTAGAACCATAAAAAATGCAAAAAAAAACCACTGTTAATAACTCATTCTCAAATTGCCCCCTTAAAAATCAAATTGCCCCCCCTTTGGGGCATGTGCCAGTTTTAGTTCCTTTCTTCTCTCTCCATACATCTACTGGGTTAGGGGACCTCAGGTTGCCCCCCCTGCCCCAGCACCAGGCCAGGGAACCTCAGGCCATGCCCCCCACCCAGCAGGGCTTGACAGGGGACTTCAAGGTGCTCTCCATACATCCACTAGATTTAGTTCCTTTCTTCTTTCTCCATACATCTATCTTATCTCTAGCTTTTTCCTCCCACCTTCCACTCTTCTTCCCCAGTTAGACTATCCCATACAAGTTATGTCTTGCTTCCTATATATTTTCTTTCCTCCTGGTTTGTCCTGACTGCTGTTCCTGGCTGCATTATTTCTGTTGCCAGAATGTGATGAAGTCTGGCTATTTCCTGTAATGCACATTAGGTTGGGTTTAATTTCAGTCTGACTTGGGTAAATTACTAACCATAAGCAAGATCTGTTAGGTTCATTTTATAAATATGAAATAGAAGTAAGTTATTGTTAGGATTTTTTTTTTTTAATGTCATTTGAAATGCAAAGAAAGCAGGAACTAGTTTGGAGTTTTTGTATTAGGTTGGGTCATATTAAAACCTGGTATGGAGGCCTGGAAGCCTGAATTATCCTCTTCATTCTAGTTCTGCTGGAGGCTGGTGCCCTTGTTAGCTATCTTAACTAAGCTCAAAGAGGGGTTTGATGGGGAGACAGGGTCTTTGCATTTTCTAGCAATATATTATGAGACAGTGTTCTGAAGAGGCCTGTTAGACAGTTAGAGGATCAACAACCTCAGTTACTTTGCTTGTACACTTTGGTGTGTTTGCTCAGTTTTAAAGCATTGGTTCTCATTTTTTATCTGGTAAAAGCATTGATTCAAGAGTACTAAGCTAAACAATTTTGTTTCCCCAGGTTGATATTTCTTTGATAGCAAGTAAGTCTGTATAAGAGCCTTATTTGTATTATTTTCTGTTCATTTTCTATTTTGGTAGGAACTTGATCTCAAAATAGCAATTAAGTCATGTCGCCTAGAGCTGAGTACCAAAAACAGAGAACGGTGGTGCCATGAAATCCAGATCATGAAAAAGTAAGTGCACTTGACTTATATTTCCCAAGTTCTCCAGCCCAGCCAGAGAACATCATAGAGAAGAAGGCCTGGAATCCATTCTTCATACAATCTTTTTAGGAGTATATTTTTCATTAAATAGATGTGTTCTATTTCACATAATAACATCATGTTATGACTAATTTAGTTTAAAAAGTCAGCTAGGTATTATCAGATTCAGCTCTGTGATTACTGAATATGTTTCTTCTGGATCCTGGGCAGTGCTCATCTGTTTAACTTTCTAGTTAAATAACAGTAACTATTCTCATTTCTTACTTTCACCTAGTTTTGATAAATAGTGTATCTATTTCTTTGTAAAAATTATCCCAAAATTTAGAAGCTTAAAACAACAAACTTTTAGAATTTCACCATTTCTGTGGGTTAGGAATTTGGGGATGACTTAACTGGTAGTTTTAATGCAGATCTTTCCTGAAACATCCCAGCATTTGAGTGGAGCTTTAGTCATCCAAAGGCTTCAGTGGGGCTGGAGTAACCACGTCCAGGCTATTTTACTGTATATGGCTATTGGTCAAAGGCATCAGTTTTTTACTATATGGATTTCTTTATAGGGAAGCTTAAATGTCTTCATGACATGACAACTGGCTTTCTCAAAAGTGAATGATCTGAGAGAGAGCAAGATGAAAGGTGACATATCTCTTAAGATCTTTCCTCAGAAGTTGTACTCCATCCTTTGTGCCACTTTCTATTTGTTAGGCATGAGTCACTAAATATTGCCCACACTCTAGAGGAGGAGAATTAAGCTCTCAAAGGAAGAAGTGTTCATATTTTAAAACCTTCATGGATATTATGCCAGCTACTTCATAAGTAATTCTTCTAGTTACCACAGCAACCCCTGTATTTAGATATTATTATTATTTTATAGATGAGGAAGTTGAAGCTCAAAGAGTCATAAAATTGGTAGGTAAGAGATTCTGGCTTTGATTTAAGTACTTTCTGACTTCGGTATCTGTTCTCAATTCATTTTAATGCTTCTCAGACTCAGAATGGCCGGAAAGGTTGGTAAAAAGGTAAACTTTCAGGTTTTAACTAGAGAGATTCTGTTTCTTTAGATCCCTAAGACCTGGGAATCTATTGCAGTTTTGAGATCCACTGCATCATGATGATGATGGCGGCTGGATGATATATTTTAAGTTAAAAAAAGATGTTAGAAAACAATGTATAGTGTGATGCAGTATTTATTGAAAAAATATATTTGTGTACAACAGATTAAAATCTGGAAGGCAATTTATCAAAATTTTTATAGTGTTCACCTCTAGGTAATTCTGTGATTATGGGAGAGGCAGTATGATATATATATACATTATATATATATATATATATATATATATATATATATATATATATATATATATATATATATATAGGCTTTGGACTCAGACTGCCAGATTTTAATCATTATTTGACCACCTACTTGCTGTGACATCTTAAGTTACTTAGCAATTTGTGCTTCAGTTTTCTCCTGTGTGATGAAACTATTAATAACTCTATACATAGTAGAATTATATGACGAATAAGTGATTTAATGTATATTAAGGTGCTTACTACTTGGCATATAGAAGTATAATTATAGTGATAGTGACAGAATTTCTATTTACTAATTTACTAATTTTTAATTATACAAATGATGCCAACCTTTCTTCCCTCACTGCCCCTCAGTTAACCACCATTTCAAACCCAGTCCCTTTTTGTTGGGAAAAAAATGTTGATTATAATTTTCCCCCTTTTGTTAGGTTGAACCACTCCAATGTTGTAAAGGCCTGTGATGTTCCCGAGGAACTAAATTTTCTGATTAACGACGTACCTCTTCTAGCAATGGAATACTGTTCTGGAGGAGACCTCCGGAAGGTAGTGTGGATGTTTGAGATGATGAGATAGTGAATAATGAACTTTAACAGTGTTTGAATCACATTCAGTATGATAATCTAGATTAGAATAAGGTTCAGTAAACTATGGCATGTTACCTGCTTTTTTATTACGTGGCAGTGCTGAGTAGTTGTGACAGATACCACTGGCCTTCAAAGCCTAAACTACTTATTGTCTGTCTCTTTACAGGAAATGTTTGCTAACCCCTGATTTAGAACATGCATTCTTTTGTTAGTGGTGGTATTTCCAGGATGGGACTATATTCGTGGTGTTAGATTAAAATATCATTGTTTAAGGTGTTTATCAAAAAGTCCCCTTCCCCCTTCTTGCCTATTATAAATAATGTTGCTCTAGAACCAGAGGCATGAATGCATGGAACAGACTGACAAATGTCAGAGGGGGTGGTGGTGGAGAGGACTGGATAAAGGGAGGTGAAGGGATTAAAGAATACATATGCATAGCCCTTGGACACAGACAGTAGTGTGATGAGGGCTAAAGGGAGTAGGGGGCAGAGGGTGGGTGGTGGTGGGCAAAGGGGAGAAAATGGGGGACATCTGCAGAAGTGTCAACAATAAAAAATTTAAATAAAAATAAAGTTTTATTTTCAATATTATTTTATATTGGTTTCAGATGTACAGTCTAGTGGTTAGACAATTATATACTTTATAATTCTTTCGATATTTCCAGTACCTAACTGCCATCATGCATAGTTATCACAATATTATTAACTATATTTCCTAGGCTTTACGTTACATCCCTGTGACTATATCTGTACTTCTTCATCCCTTCACTTCTTTTTCCCACTGCCTCAAAAAAAAAAATGTTTCTTTTGTATTGCAAATTTTTCTTTCCCATCTTCTTTAAATCTGCCATATGGATTTTGTATGTATATATATATGTGAGATTTTTCAAGCTTTTCAATTTCAAATACTTTATCTTGTAAGCCTTGTCATGAAATTTGCATGTTCTCTGTGTGGATTTGGTAATTTTTCCCCTCGTATATTTTCTTAATCATGACTTATTTTCTTATTTGAATATTCTCCTACAGTATAGTGATTAATGTGTTACTATTACTGCCCAGCAGCATTGGCAGTATACATTTTTAGCCTTTTTTTATTTTCTTTAGCTGCTCAACAAACCAGAAAATTGCTGTGGACTTAAAGAAAGCCAGATACTTTCTTTACTGAGCGATATAGGTATGTAATCAATTTGAAAATACTATCATGATTTAATGCTGTCTTGGTTCACAAAAGATTCTATATGCTACTATAAAGTATAGATTTTAGCATCTATAAGAAATTACCAGAAAATTTTAATTGTTATTGTTGATGCTAAATTATTATAAAACTAGTGTATTTTGTTATTTTTTGTTTTGTTTTTGACTAGGAGTCAATTTTTGGCTAATAGATGCTGCAGTTGCTGACCAAAAATGGTGTTAAATGACCTAATTTAATTTTTCTCTTCCTCCCTCCTTAATTAACATAGTAATTTCATTTAACAGTGGCATTATATCTGTTAAATAGTTTCTCAAGTCAGCTCTTAGGGTGAAATCTCTTTTTAATCAGAATAATTCCTGAAAAATCCCTAAAATAATCAAAGATTATTTTAGCAAGCTCAAAAGCCAAGAATATGTTTCCCTATGTATTTCCATTTTGTTTCTTTTTCTGGGTCATGGAGGCCAAAGCTTAGCTGAAAAGAGAGGGAAAGGCTACAAGGATAAGTATAGGATTTTTCTAAATTGCTTTTTCCATTTCTTTTTAATGTTAATTTTCATAAATTAAATGAACATATATTTCTGTAGTATTTTTTAAGTGTTACTGGATTTTCTGAGGAGAAAATCTTAACTGCTGTAATATTAATTGAGTGGTTATGATGGTCCTTATAAATTTGAGCATTAGAGAAGTACAAAATGTGAGATGATTTTTTTTTTTTAATTCAGTATTTTCTCGTACCTCAAAATACATTTTAAATTTTACTTAGGGTCTGGGATCCGATATTTGCATGAAAACAAAATTATACATCGTGATTTAAAACCTGAAAACATAGTTCTTCAGGATGTTGGTGGAAAGGTAGGTGAAAACTGAAGAAATTTTCCATGGCAGTTGAATACAGTATCCTTGTGATAGTTAATCTTTGAAGTTTGGTGCCCTTCCATAGCATTCTTACTTTTTCTATCTGCCCTCACTATTCTGAACTGTGGTTTTGTGTTTAGTTGTTTGTCTCCTCTGCTGCCATAGTAGCTCCATTAGAGAAGGAACTGCACCTGTCTTGTTCACCTCTGTTTTTCCAGCACAGTATCTAGCAGAAATGGTAGGCAGTAAGTAAATAATTTATTAATCTTTACAAGGCACACTAAAACACACACCTGCATCCTGGGTCTGCATTACTTAAAAAATAAAAGCACATTTACTTAAGTATGTGTTTTATATATTTTTAAAAAACTCATTCTCCTCCTAAGTTCTATATTTAATTAAAAATCAAAACTTGATTTCTCAGATTCTTAAATGAGTCGTCTTAAAAGGAACCAAAAATTGTGATTTGATTCCTGAAATATTTGTTTTTATCAGAATAATTTGAGCAGTTTATTTGCTGTTCGCACTGAAGTCCCATCCCAAAAAAAGATGTAAAGCCAAGACTAAACTTTGAATCAGATTGTGTGGTCTTGTAGTAAGATGGTAGTCTGCTAGAAGTGATGAAACCTCGATGATGCTTCTTCTCTTAGGAGGCTTTCATGTGTGCTTGGCACCAACTATCTCTCCCTTCTTTTGAATCCAAAGACTTCAGCATATTTTTGAGGTTAGATGGGTATGTACTCACACTGATCCACTCTAAGATGGTTTGCTAATTCTTCCTTTGGAAGTCATCTTTACCTCTGTCTTTCAGTATAATGGATCAAGTTTATTTTGAATATACCAAAATAAAAATTGATAGCCAATCTATATTTAGTTTTTACCATGTACAGGCACTGTGTTAAATTATTTTTTTTTGGGGGGGGGGCTGTTTCTTTGAATCTTAATAACAGTTCTGTGAAGTAGGGATTGTTAATAATATTATATAGGAAGTCAAGAGAAGTCTAAGTAACTTGATTAAGATCATAAGGCTAGTTAAGTGGTGGAGCTCAAGCTTGAATCACATTTATGTTATTCCAGAGCTCAAACTCTTCACCATTATCTCTCCAGAACCTTATCAGGACATTGTTGCCTTTCCATTTCAAATTTTTCAACCATTTAATGCTTATCATTTTGTAGATTATACATAAAATAATTGATCTGGGATATGCCAAAGATGTTGATCAAGGAAGTCTGTGTACATCTTTTGTGGGAACATTGCAATATTTGGTAAGATATGTATTGTTTCTTTGAATTTAAGTGTTCCAAATTCTCTTATTTATGAAGGTTATAAATATACATAGTAGATAAAAAATAAAGTACCTTTTCTCTTACAGTATTACATTTAAAGCATTTCTTTTCTTTTTAAGGCCCCAGAGCTCTTTGAGAATAAACCTTATACAGCTACTGTTGATTATTGGAGCTTTGGGACAATGGTATTTGAGTGTATTGCTGGATATAGGCCTTTTTTACATCATCTGCAGCCATTTACTTGGTAAGAAATGGAAGAGTACTTCAGTGTGCTTAATGTGAATGAAAATGTTCAGTAACATGCCTTTTTCTCCTCTCTTTAAGTGGAATAATTTCCTTTTAAACACACAATTGAATAAAATTAAATGGCAAAAATCTTGAGTTTTTTTGTGAGTCAGGTTGTCTACTAAGGTAGCTTTTGTTTTGTATAGGCATGAGAAGATTAAGAAGAAGGATCCAAAGTGTATATTTGCATGTGAAGAGATGACAGGAGAAGTTCGGTTCAGTAGTCATTTACCTCAACCAAATAGCCTTTGTAGGTAAGTATATGTCAGTTCACCTCAGTTTCTTCAATAGAGTTGTCTGTTTCAAGTATTATCATCCAGTAGAACTTTCTGCTATGATGGGAATGTTTTATATTATATAATGTTTTATATTATGACCACATTAGGTTCTTGAGCACTGAAAGGTGAGTGATGTGATTGAAGAACTGAATTTTAAATTTTGTTTAATTTTAATTAACTTCAGTGTAAATGAAAATAGCCACTTGTGACTATTGGCTCTCATATTGGGCAGCACAAGTCTAGTGGGAACAATAACTGCTGCCATTCAATTGATTGGCTTAAGTGCTAAGAAGACTCTTGGGATACTGAAGTAACTGTTCCTTGGAGAACAGTTGCCAAAAACTAACTTACATATGTGGGTTTTGGGTTGTAGATTTTCTTATAGAGAGAGAAAGGGAGAGAGAAAAATATTGATGTGAGAGAGAAACATTCGTTTGCCTCTCCTATGCACCCTGACTGGGGATTGAACCTGCAATTTGAATATGTGCACTGACCAGGAATCAAACCTAGATAGGACAACATTCCAACCAACTGAGCCACAATGTCCAGGCTGGGTGTTTTTTTATGGAAAAAGTTTGTCCCCTATCATTTCATGAATTATTTATTTTATTATTTTTACCCAAGGATATTTTTTCCATTGATTTTCAGAGTGGAAGGGAGGGGGAGAGGGGACATGGAAGGAGAGAGAGAAGGAAGGGAGAGAGAAAGGAGAAAGAGAGAAACATTGATTATTTGCCTTTGCAAAGGTCTCAAATGGAGCCAGAAAGAACCTGAAACCCAGGTATGTGCCCTTGACTGGGAATTGAACCTGAGACCCTTTAATGCATGCGCCAGCACTCTCATCATTGAGCCATGCCAGCCAGGGCTATTTTTATTTGTTTATTTTTTAGTCTCACCCAAGGACATAAGAGAGAGAAACATTAATCAGTTGCCTTCTGCACACATCCCAACCAGGGATTGAACCTGCAACCCAGGCATGTACCCTGACTGGAAATTGAATTGGTAACCTTTTGGTGCCCAGAATGATGTTCAACCAACTGACCCCTCTGGCTGGGCCTTTTCATGAATTATTTGAAAGTAAGATACAAAATGGTACAGACAAGTAATGAGAAAGGAAATGGACAACCTATAAGATTATCTTTTTTACAGTATTAAAATAATATTGGAACAAGGATTTTCACCCATTTTTGTATGTTTTCTAGTTTAATAGTAGAACCCATGGAGAATTGGCTCCAGTTGATGCTGAATTGGGATCCTCAACAGAGAGGAGGACCTATTGAGCTACCTTTGAAGCAGCCAAGATGTTTTGTATTAATGGATCACATTCTGAATTTGAAGGTTAGTTTCTGATGAATGGGATCTATTTCAGAAGACTTGATTGAAGTTAACAACTTTATTTGGGAAATTAGTATTAAATATGTTTTATTTATTTATTTATTTTTTAAAAAATATATACTTTATTGATTTTTTACAGAGAGGAAGGGAGAGAGCTAGATTAGAAACATCAATGAAAGAGAAGCATCAGTCAGCTGCCTTCTGCATGCCCCCTACTGGGGATGTGCCCGCAACCAAGGTACAAGCCCTTGATCAGAATTGAACCTGGGACCTTTCAGTCCACAGGCCGGTGCTCTATCCTCTGAGCCAAACCAGTTTCAGCTTAAATATATTTTAATAGTCTCTTTCTGATGCTTATTTGAAAAAGAAATTTATTTTTTTAGAGTGGATGTGTTTTTATTTTTTTAGTAAGCCTTCTCAGTTTTACTTTTAAGTGGTCTTTGCTTTGAAGCATCTTTTAGATTTTCCCTTCTCAGATTGGTGCCTCATTCATTTAGGTCTGGATGTGATTTCTGAGAAATGTTTCTACCTGCCTTACATGCCTCTATAGTTTTATCCATTTTATAATCCATGCAGCATGAACTGCCCATTTCATCTTATAAAAATATGTTTTTATTTCCCTTTCCAAGAAACCAACATAGTTCTTCCTTGCCTACTAAATCAAGTCTAAGCTGATCTGCCTTGGTCTGGGGGGCTTTCCTATTGCAGGTCCATCCCAACCAAGTTCTTGTCTCATACCTGCTTCTCTTACCCTTTATTTCACTCAGGACCAGCTTGTGACTGCTTCTCATGCCATCAAGCTCCTGTTTCATGTTTGTGCCTGAATAGATACTATCCTCTGCCCAGAATGATCTCTATCTCTTTTTATCTCCTTACTTACACTGGTACATATTCAATTCTCCTTTTTTTCCTAATGGTCTTGGCCACAGTTTATCATTTAGTCATATTTACTATATTGTCTACTTGTTTTTCTTTTTCTTTCTTTTTTTTAAAATATATTTTATTGATTTTTTACAGAGAGGGAGAGAGAGAAGGATAGAGAATTAGAAACATCGATGAGAGAGAATCATCGATCAGCTGCCTCTTGCACACCCCCGACTGGGGATGTGCCTGCAACCAAGGTACATGTCCTTGACCGGAATCGAACCCGGGACCTTTCAGTCAGCAGGCCGACGCTCTATCCATTGAGCCAAACTGGTCTCGGCTGTCTACTTGTTTTTCATCTTCCACTTATTCTTCTCTCTGTAGATTGTCCTCTTCCTCAATGCTGGGATAGTTTTTACTGCTTTTATTAGCAATTGCCCAGTCTACCACTATGCCATCCCTTCCCTGGCATTCTATATAAAGCAGGCCTGTAACGGGTTCTCAGTAGATCTTCATTGATATGAATGAGAGGTTCTTCTATGCTATTTACCCAGACACAACTCTCACCTACAATCTGCAGTATTTCTGTTATTTATTGGTTGCTTGAGGTAGACAGGGTTTCTCAAATTAAATGAGAATGGAAATCATATATTGATGCCATTTGTGACTTACATTGAAAAGATAGCTGGCTTTTTGACTTGGTTATCTTCTACTGTGTCAAGGAATAAATCACCTCTCAATGTGTTAGCCAACTAGGACTTGATGACACCTTTTGGTTCTCTTGCCTTCGGTAATTTTTTTTTCTTTTAAAAAATGTTTTTATTGACTTATTATTATTATTATTATTATTATTGTTTGAAGTATTGCAAATAGTAGTACATATGTCTCATTTTTTCCCCCCTTGACCTCCCTCCTAAATTTTGCTTTTTATCTCGGGCTTTTTTCAGACTTGTCGGTAATTGTAACATTATTTCTACTTTGAAGATATCTGTGGTCATCTGCTTGTCATGAGTGTGGGAAAAAAGTTCTCCCTAGGTGCTTGTGGTCTATAGACTTTAATTCAATTTGTATTATTACCACGTATCTATCTGTGAATCTAGGCAATTATTTGTTTGTTTATAGCTCAGATTCAGTAATAGCTTTTTAAAGGATCCATGTTATTGTGAGGTTGTTTAGTATAAAGTATGCGTAGGGTACTATTCAAGTAGTTTAGGGACATTTCCTATACATGATAATGGGACTGAATTTTGAAGGATAAGTAAGAGTCCATCAGGGGAAATGGGCAGGGGGAAAGATTAACAACTCAGTTGGAAACTTGAGTTGTCTTACTGTTCTTTCTCCTTCAATCTACATATTCAATTATTTTGTCAGATTTATCTTTTGAATGTTTTAACAATTCTGAACTTGTCAGATTCTTAGTTTAGAAAGTTTTCCATAGTTCCTTTTTGCTTATTGAAAAAAAGTCCAAATCCTAACATTGGTGTTCAGAATCTATGTTGATCTCATTTCATCCTACACTTCCAGCATTATCTCGTATTAGGCCCTATGCCAGCACTGGTTTAAGTATCTTTCAACTGGATTATTTATATATTCTCTGATTCCATTCATCCCTTTCTACCTCTCTGCCGACCTTGTTTTCAAGAAAACACAGAGAATATGAGCATGATCAGAGAGGTTTCTTTCAGTTTTTTCTCATTCTAATCTTCCTTTTCAAAGTTTAGCTCAAATAGTGCCTCTTTTATAAAAAATATCCCTTTTAAGTAATCTCCTTTGGAATCTGCAAAATACCTTATTATTGCACCTATTGCATTTTGCCTTGTATTTTAGTTCTCTTAATGCTTCTAGTATCTTCTTTTTTACTATTTTCCTATGGAGGGCAAGGATCATAGATTACTCAACTTGCATACCCACTGTTACTACAACACAGTTAATAGTATGTACCATAGTAGTTACTCATTAAATGTTTGAGTGAACAAAATTTAAGTTGTATTTTCTTTTTCTTTTTTTACCTCCTTCTAGTAGGATGCTATGATCACTTACCCTAGTTTTAGACATATATCCTCTATAAAAGTAAATGTTCACTGTACATCCAACTTTGAAGATTCCCTTCTCTTTCCTTTTCTACCTTTTTTAAACATAATGGGTTATTATATATTAAAGGGAAGTTAATGCTTTACTGATGTAATAAGCATTTCCAGCAGATATAATTTTAATTATTTGTATGCAGGGGTGGGCAAAAATAAGTTTACAATTGTGAGTACGTGAAACAGAGTTTATTCTTGTCATATTATTTCCTTATTAATTATTATACTTCTAAATATTGTTATTATTTTTATTAACCCTTCTTCCCATCCCTGTAAGCTTTGGAGAAACAAAGCTATTACTTTGTATAGCTTATCTAAGGACAGTGGGAGGAAGAGGATTTAAAATCATGTTGTTCAGCCGAAGCCAGTTTGGCTCAGTGGTAGAGTATTGGTCTGCGGACTGAAGGGTCCCAGGTTCGATTCTGGTCAAGGGCATGTACCTTGGTTGCGGGCACATCCCCAATAGGGGGTGTGCAAGAGGCAGTTGGTCAATGTTTCTTTCTCATCGACGTTTCTAGCTCTCTATCTCTCTCCCTTCCTCTCTGTAAAAAATCAATAAAATATATATATTTTAAAATAAATTAAAAAAATAAAATCATGTTGTTCAGAAAACTGACCTCTAACTCTGGCTTCTAACTCTTGGTTATCTCACCTAACTCAGTTTCACACTTAGTTGGCTACCCCTACTTTCAATGGGTCTTTGGATAAGAGTATTTTCTTATCTAACTTTGGGCCCTTTAAGATAGATTACTGCTATGGGATTTGGTTTTCTTATCATACATAATAAAAACCTAATATGCTAAGTGTCTGACCGTTCATTCGACCAGTCTTTATGATGTGCACTGACCACCAGGGGTCCGACCGGTAAGTTAGCTTGCTGCTGGGGTCTGGCCAATTGGAACTGGGCAAGATGGCCTGTCATGCCCTGGACAGATCCGTGCACCGGGCCTCTAATCTGAAAAATAAGACTAATAATACTTCTTCCTGTTTAAAGAGAGGCCTATCTCTTCTATCATAATTATTTCTTGAGACAATGTAAGGTAGTCAGTTATCAGCTGTGTGATCCCTCAGAATTCTGTGGTTTTTTTTTCCTGCCAAAATGGAGATTAGAAGATCTAATTCATGGTGTTATGTTAAATATAACTTAACTAATTAAGGGGATGTTATGTTAAGCATAAAGCACTTAACTCTGTGGTTGGCATCTATTAGGTTCTTTATAAATGGGAATGTTTTCTTCCAGGTCTGTGATAAGTTTCTCAGAATAAGTGTTGCCTTTTTAAATTGATTTTTTTGTGCATTCCTAGGATTTTGTACATCCCTAGAACTTTGAAATTTTATTCCTTGGAACTAACATTAGTTGTAGTAGAAAGTAAATTCTTAAGATTTCACATGTCATTTTATAATTATATAAGGAGATTACACTTCAGAAATGATTGAACCTTGCATAGAACAAAGATGATATGCAATTCATATCATATTCCCTTTATTATCTTGCACTGAATTTTTTATGTAAGCAGTTGGTTAATCATTTTTCTTTCTTCTTATATATACAGATAGTACACATCTTAAATATGACTTCTGCAAAGATAATTTCTTTTCTGTTACCACCTGATGAAAGTCTTCATTCACTGCAGTCTCGTATTGAGCGTGAAACTGGGATAAATACTGCTTCTCAAGAGCTTCTTTCAGAGACGGGAATTTCTCTTGATCCGAGGAAACCAGCCTCTCAATGTGTTCTAGATGGAGTAGTAAGAAAATTCTAATATATCTAAAATTCTAATATAAGAAATCCGTTTGCACAGAGGGATTGCATGCCCTGCATTTTTAGATGTTTATTTGAAATCCTTTGGGGGATTATGCACGTTTCACAATTCTTTTACTTTTATCCCATTCATTTCTCTTACTGCTTTGCAAGGTGAACAAGATAGAAGTGAAACATTTGGTATTTTGAATGTACTATGACTTTTTCTTTGGTGCTAGCTCTCTCCTTCTTCTTTTTTTTCCCCTTTTTGTAATTGAAACCTAGAATCTTAAAATTATACCAGCAGTTTTGTAGGTCTTGCCAGAGGATAGATAGATGGTAAAATATGATTGTGGTCAGGACTCTTTTATCATTTTATTTGACTTTATTGAGGCATATTTAAATATTATATAACTTACCCATTTCAAGTGTATAATTTAGTGGGGTTTTGTTTTGTTTTGTTTGTTTTTTGTTTTTTTGTTTTAGCAAATTTACTTAATTGTATAGCCATTACTATGAATCAGCCTTAAAACATTTCCATCTCAGTAAGATTCTTCATGTCCATTAACTGTTAATCTCCATTCTGCCTACCCAAGGCAATCACTAGTTTACTTTATATATCTATAGATTTGCCTTTTCTGAACATTTCATACAAATGGACCATAAAACCTGTAGTCTCTTGTGTCAGACTTCTTGAGGTTCATTCTTGTCATAGTATGAATTCATTCCTTTCTATTACTGATAATGTTCCTATTATATAGGTATATGTTGTTATCACTTTTTTTGCCTTTGTCCTTTTGGGTCTGGTGATTGTTTTCACTTTAACCCATACTAAAGTTATTATTTTTCCTAAACAAAAGTTTAGACCTTAAATCTGTAAGATGTATGCTAATTAACATTGACTTTGTTCATTTGCATTTCACTGGTACTTGGAGAACCTATGATTATAAGTGTTTTTTAAAAAATTGTTTCTTTGTTTTTCAGAGAGGCTGTGATAGCTATATGGTTTATTTGTTTGATAAAAGTAAAACTGTATATGAAGGGCCATTTGCTTCCAGAAGTTTATCTGACTCTGTAAATTACATTGGTAAGTCTAGTCCATTTACTGACTGAGATTTAAACCTGAAATGATATCATTTTGATTGAACATGATTAGTAGAAATGGTTTTTGGTGTTTTTGTTTTGTATCTCATACTTTAGCTTACTATTTATGGTGAAAATTTTTTATAGTTTGGAATGTGAAAAGGTAGGTTTTAAATCACCGCCAGATTCCTCATTTGGGAAAAGACTTTCCTCAGGATAACCCTCTCACAGATGAATTAATCTCCATTTTTCATTAAGCCTACTTTTTAGTTTGTTTTTCATTATTTAAGCATGTTCAAATATTTCATTTTATTCTGTGAATACTGCTTAATGTTCAATTTTTTTTCCACTTATTCTGTGAGAATTATTCTTTTCTTTTGAAGAAGATAGCTGTCAGTTTCTGTCTACCCCAAACTAAAATCAAGCACAAAATTGTGCATAAGGGTTAAAATTATTTAATCTTTCTCCTGTTACCTTTTAATTAGTTTTTAAAAGACAAATTTACAGGAAAAAAATGATCAGGTAATAGTACAGAGTTCTCATGTTATCCCTCTCCTCATTTGTAACATCTTACATTAGTGTTACAATAAATGAGCCAATATTTATTATTAAGTCCATACTTTATTTAGATTTCCTTAGTATTTATCTGGTCTCCTTTATTTGTTCTAGGATCTCATCCAGGATACCACATTGCATTTAGTTGTCATTCTCTTTAGGCTTTTCTTGGCTATGACTTTCATTGTTTTTTATGACTTGGACTGTTTTGAGGAGTACTGGTCAAGTATTTTTTTTTTTTAATATATTTTATTGATTTTTTACAGAGAGGAAGGGAGAGGGATAGAGAGCTAGAAACATCGATGATGAGAGAAACACCGACCAGCTGCCTCCCGCATATCCCCCACCAGGGATGTGCCCGCAACCAATGTACATGTCCCCAACCGGAACTGAACCCGGGACCCTTCAGTCTGCAGACCGATGCTCTATCCACTGAACCAAACTGGCCTCGGCTGGTCAAGTATTTTGTAGGATGCTCCTCTATTGCAATCTGTCTAATTTCCACCCCCCTCATGATTAGACCAAGATTATGGGTTTTTGAGAGAAAGATCATAGAAGTACCATTCTTATCTACACTAATAAAGGAGCCGGGACCGGTTTGGCTCAATGGATAGAGCGTTGGCTTGGGGACTGAAGGGTCCCGGGTTCGATTCCGGTCAAGGGCATGTACCTTGGTTGCGGGCATATCCCCAGTAGGGGGTGTGCAAGAGGCAGCTGATCGATGACTCTCTCTCATCGATGTTTCTAGCTCTCTATCTCTCTCCCTTCCTCTCTGTACAAAATCAATAAAATATATTTAAAAAAAGAAAAAAAAAGAAGAAATACTAATTGACCGTACCTTTGCTACACCCACAGCCAATCAGAGTGAGCATGCAAATTAACTCAACAAAGATGGCGGTAATTTGCATAAGCAGGCACTGATTGGCCTGGGTCCTGGGAACATCCTCCAGACCTAGGCTGCTCCTAGCTTGTAGGCCCATAGGCCCTGAGTGGCAGGGGTCCCAGAACGCCCCCTGGCCACTCAGAGCCCATGAGTGCAGGCGCCAAGCAGCTAGAGGTGGGGCAGGGAACGTCCCCGCGTCATTGTGATTATTTCTTATCTTTATTTTCCCTTGTATCAGGAGCACGGTTTGTATATTACAGGTGCTCAGTAAATGTTTATTGAACTGAATGAAACAGTGACAAGTGGTTCTTTCTAGCATCCATGGGAATGACATTTGTAAAGACTGGAAATCAAAGAATGATTAATGAGCTCTAAAATCTTAAAAAGTAACTCCTGTCTTTTTCTCATCTTCTTATATATAGTACAGGACAGCAAAATACAGCTTCCAATTATACAGCTGCGTAAAGTATGGGCTGAAGCAGTGCACTACGTGTCTGGGCTAAAAGAGGACTACAGCAGGCTCTTTCAGGGACAGAGAGCGGCAATGTAAGTGGATTCTGGTGTTTACAGTGACAGTGTCATGCATATTAATAATGTTCAATAATTAATCTTGCCAATTTTCACAAATAATTTTCCATGCAATATTAAAATATTAGACCAATTTGAAATGTAATTTTCTCATCAGACTAGTAGACTTCTTATTAATGGTATGAAACCCTTCAGTTGCAATGGCTTGAGAATAGTTTTTGAGCAGAACGTCCTAGTATAAAAGAAATTGTGTTGCCACCAACAGAAAGTCTTTAAAGACTAGATTCTACAGATCAGCTATTTCTCATAGATTGATAATAGAAACTTAGGCAATGGGCTTATGGCAATATAATTTTTAAAATTTTTGTTCAATATTTATGAAATATTAATTTTAATTTTTTTTTTGGCTATGGTTTAGGTTAAGTCTTCTTAGATATAATACTAACTTGACAAAAATGAAGAACGCTTTGATCTCAGCATCTCAGCAACTGAAAGCTAAACTGGAGTTTTTTCACAAAAGCATTCAGCTTGACTTGGAAAGATACAGTGAACAGATGACTTATGGGATATGTAAGTTTTGGGGTAATGTATTTGAAGGAAGGGTCTAGTCTTTTGAAGCCATATGCTATTTTGCCTTCTTGCCTTGTACCAATTGTTTCTCTTGCATTCAACATTAGAACAAAAGGCACGTTTGTTTTGAATATTAGCTTTTATTTTAACATTTAGTTGAACAATTTAACAGGAATCTTCCCCTCCCCCAATTGGACTAAAGTTAAGTTGTTTAGCTCCAGAAAAATACAAAAGTGATTTAAGAATTTATGATTTTCAAGCTCAATATAAAAAACTAGAGTCCCAGTGCACAGATGCATGCACTTGGGATCCCTCAGCCTGGCCTGTGAGGATCAGGCCAAACAGTCTCTCTAACATCCCCTGAGGGGTCCCGGGTTGTGAGAGGGCAATTCTCTGGTGACACACCCCAGAATCGGGCTCCCTTCTCTCTGGTTCCGGGTGTATCACCCAAGAACCATAGCTGCCAAGTCACTGCAGCTCTGCAGCTCCTACATGAGCATCTGCTTCCTGGTGGTCAGTGTGCATCATAGCTACCAGTCAGTCACTTAGGCTTTTATTAGATAGGTAGATACAAAATCCATATTGGAGTGACTTCTTAGCCAGGGAAATCCTAAACTACTTACCTTTCTGTAAATGACAACACAGATAATTCTGTGTTTTTTCCCAAACCACCTACTGTACAGGTCCCACTTTTTTATTTTTCAGTTTTTGACTTCAAGCTTATCTCCCTTCAGATATACTAAGTAAATCTAAAGAGCAGAGTTAAAATCAAAGAATAAACTGAAGAGGTCACCACCAGCATTTCTGTTTGTTTTTTTTCCATTGAAACAAATCCTTTTTTTTTTTTATCTGGTTTGTATACTTGTCTTGAATAAGATGTGGGTATCTTAGAATAAGTGATCAGCAGTGTCAGGTGGGTGAATAAATTTACCCCCTAGAGCTGGTTCTGATTGGTGTTATGTATTACAGGTATTCTGGTTAATGGCAAAACATTTCATCAAGTTAGCTTGACTTACCTTGTAAGTTGTATATATGATACAGTCGTTAAAAAAGAATGAAGTAGAAAGAATCCATATCAGCTCTATATAAGATTAAATATATAGGTATTGCTCAAAAAAGAAAAAGAGTGAGGTAGACCTGATATTAAAAGATCACTTGGATCTTTAATGGCAGTGATGTTTTAATTTGGAGAATAAAAGCAAAGAAAGGCAGGCATGTATAGATAGTCTCATCTTTGAAGGAAAGGGTATGAGTCTGTATAACATTATTAAAGTAAGATCCTATAAGATGGAGTGTGGAGAGGAGGAAGGGTTTTCTTTTTTATATCCTTTTATAATGTTTGATTTTTTTAAAAAATATATTTTATTGATTTTCCACAGAGAGGAAGGGAGAGGGATAGAGAGCTAGAAACGTTAATGAGAGAGAAACATCAACCAGCTGACTCCTGCACACCTCCTACTGGGGATGTGCCCGCAACCAATGTACATGCCCTTGACCGGAATCCAACCTGGGACCTTTCAGTCCACAGACCGACGCTCTATCCACGGAGCCAAACCAGTTTCGGCTAATGATTGATTTTTTAAAAGTCATTTTCATGTGTCATTTAAATAATTTTCTTTCTTTTTATTTGAAAGAGAAAACCATCTGTATTAGTGTCCTAATACAAATTAGTGTCCATAACAAATTACTATAAATTGGGTGGCATAAAACAACAGAAATTGCTCAGCTCGGTATGGCTTAGCTGTTGAGTATTGACCCTGGAACCAGAAGGTCACCTGTTCGATTCAGCCAGGACATATGCCTGGGAAGTCTGCAAGAGGCAGCCAATCAGTGATTCTCTCTCATCACTGATATTTCTATCTCTCCCTCTCCCTTCCTCTCTGAAATCAATAAAAAAAAATATTTTTTTAAAAAACAGAAATTTATCATCTGACAATTCTAGAGGCTAAAAGTCTACTCTCAAGGTGTTGGCATGACCATGATCCCTCTGAAACCTGTGGAGAGGAATCCATCCTTCCTTCTTCCTGGCTTCTGGGATGTTTATCAGCAATCCTTGGCATTCCTCGGCTTGCAGCTGTAGTACTTTAGCCTCTGCCTCTGTCATCAAATGGAACTCGCCCTTCATACATCTGCATCTTTGTGTCTCTCCTCTTCTGTTAAGGATCCTAGTTATACTGGATTAACTACTCCAGATTGACCTCATGTTAATTTAGCCAACTATCTGCACTGACCCTGTTTCTAAAAAAGGACACATTCTCATGTACTGAGTTAGGTTTTCAGCATAACTTTTGGGGAGACGACTCAACCCATAACACCATTTTTTACGTTGATAGTCAAGGACGTGGGTAGGTCAGTAATTAAAACTGGCTATTTCTGAGATAACCAATTAAAACTTTTTTTTTTTTTTTTTTAGCCTCAGAAAAAATGTTAAAAGCATGGAAAGAAATGGAAGAAAAGGCTATCCACTATGCTGAGGTGAATTCACTGAGCTTGTTCTGTGTGTTTATTTCTGAGGTCTCCCTTAGAAACTTTCTTTGGTTTTGATATGTAGAGTATCTTTCCTGTCATTTCTGAATATTAACTAGTAGATGTTTTGTGTATATGATGGATAAAAATAAAGGTGTTGGACAAATGAGACTACTAGTAAACTGAAGCCTCCATGAGCTTCAGTTTCCATATTATATTATGGGGACTATATATACCTTTTTTAGTAAGGTTATGCATATTGAATGGTAATAAATGATAAGTGTCAGTTATCACTATAAAACAACAGTGATACACAACTGGTTTAGATAGGATGGCTGCATATCCTGGTTTACCTAGTTGGTCCTTTTGCACCTGTCTTGCCATAATTATCAATGGTACTTTCATTGTCAAAGTTATGCAGATTTGGACAATATATTATATGGTCACATTAGATATAGGTTATTCTCTAGGTGATAGATTCTTTCCTTATATTTATCTATGGTCCTACTATTGATAAATTATTACTGTCCTGGGAGTGAAAACTTACCCTAAGGACATGGGTGGGACAGTTAGAATCCTGGAGTGGGAAATCCAATGTCATTATTATTATTTCAAGGCAGTTGGGAAGAAGAAGCAATGAAAATCATAGAACTGAGTAGAAGTGGTTTTGATGGTCATTTTCTCTCTGTGTTGTTAGCGACACATGTTTTACTTCTCAGGAGGAGAAAGCAGATGCTAGTAGTTTACTATTAATAGGAGAGAACAGTGAGAAGCTAGGAATAAGTATGTTCTCGTGTGAAAGGTAGTCAGAATCTGAAAGATAAAAGACTTACATAAAATCATTATTTCATATTAAATCATTTAGTTCTCCTTTGCAGGAGTAAGTCATTCTTTGTCTGAGTTCTCTGTATTGTGTGGTGGTGAGCCTGTCATTTCTTTACGTTTCATCATATTGTAGGTAGGTGTCATCGGATACCTGGAGGATCAGATCATGTGTCTGCACACTGAAATCATGGAACTCCAGAAAAGCCCTTATGGAAGACGTCAGGGAGATTTAATGGAATCTCTGTAAGGACATACTCATGTCGTTGGTATTGGTATTAATAATTTTTTTTTTTTGTAGCAGATTACTCTTTCTATGTACTCCTGGCATATTAAGCCTGCATATGGTTATTTTTTATAGTTTTCCTTTCCCCAAATATCTTGGCATCATTTTTAAAAAGGAAGTTTTTTCATCACTGGAAATTTTGGAAATAACTCTTAGGGTTGACTTCTGCTATTTTAATCAAAGAATCTTTTCATGTGACTGTTAAGAATTTTTCAAGTATCTAAGTTACAAACTATTTCCCTACTTACCATAGGTATTGTCTATCAAATGCCCTACATGAGGTTAACTTCCTAAACGTTTGGATTAGAAACTTCACGTATTTGTCTCTAATCACAAGCCATAATTTTTGCACATTTAAGTGTTTCTGGTGCAAGGATCAGATATGTGCTGGCAGACCACAGCAGATAAGAAGTATATCACACTTCGCGTTTTAAGATCTTGCTTAGCACTAAGTGAAATTCTTTGTAAAATATTCATTGACAATATACACTTACTTTATAATTGGATCATTATTCTCTTCAAATAATATTTGTTCACTAAAAGTTGTGGATTATAAGTCATTAAATTATCTTCGCATAAAGACATTTATTATTGTTTTGTAGGGAGCAGCGCGCCGTCGATCTGTATAAGCAGTTAAAGCACAGACCTCCAGGTAAGACACTTCTATCGCAATGCACAAAGGTGTTTTAAGAAACCGCCCAGCCTAACAACTCCTGGGACTGGATTTTAAACAAGCTGCAGGATAAGTTCCAGTTTTGATAATTCAATTGAGATATTTATATGTAACAGCTTTTAGTTTGTGAGAATTTAAGCGATTAGGAAGGCAAAGTTACAAGAAAATTGAGGTAGAAAAATTTTTTAAAGAAAACTGAAAGAAAGGAATAAAAGAGGGAAAGGGGAATTCATAGAGGAGGAGAAGGCAAGAAAATGTGGGAAAACTGGAAAAAAAAAATAAGTGCAGCTTAAGATTAGAGAGGTTGGTAGGGAGTTGATGATACTGGTTCAGGTGTGGAATGGTCAGAGGGAAGACTCATGTGCTGGGCCAAAGCAGTTTACCTTGAAAATGAGGCTTTCATCTAACCTGTCACTGGTTTGCTTCATTGGCAAAACAATTCTTTTTGAACATCTATTGAATACAGAGCATGGGCTATTGGAAAGAATATAGGATTGGGAATTGGAAAGCTTGAATTCTAAATTAGGCATTTTCCTAGCCAAGTAACTTTGGGCAAATTACCTAATCTCTCTCCATTTCCTTTCCCTTTTCTGCAATATGGGTTTGAAACCTCGCTTTACTAACTCAGTGAGTGTGTGTTGTATAATGTGTTAGAAACTATAAAGTAATATATAGCTGCAAAGTATTAACCTTCAGTTAAAAATTGCTTTGTCTTGAAGGGTATCTATGGGTCCTTTCATTAGTGTATGAGATTTGGCTTAAGTCAGGTAGCTTTTTCTAAGTATTTATGGGCTGTGAACAGATGAATAAATACGAAAATCCAAGCAATCTAGTTGGAGCAAGAGCCTCCTGTGAGGCAGTGAAAGTTAAATGAATTATCCTACTGTTTCTAAATCAATGATGTTTATCATCCAAGAAAGATTGATCTTTTGGCTAGAAGGCTGCATGTTTCTGAGGCTTGGGTTAGTATGGGTTAAAGATAACTGAGGATACAATGATAAATGTATATACCTATGTATGCACCAACACATACTTTTAGGTATATAATTATAGATATTCTAGTGGCCTGGTGTCTCACAGCCCAGGCTGCACCCTCTCCAATATGGGACCCCAACCAGGGCATGTCGACAAATCGGGTCTAAACCAGCAGTCGGACATCCCTCTCACAATCTGGGACCGCTGGCTCCTAACCACTTAACCTGCCTGCCTGCCTGGTTGCCCCTAACCACTTTGCCTACCAGCCTGCTCACGCCCAACTGCCCTCCTGTCGGCCTTCTTGCCCCCAACGGCCCCCCTTGCTGGCCTGCTCGCCCCCAACTGCCCTCCCACCAGCCTGCTCACCCCTAACTGCCCCCCCGCCAGCCTTATTGCACCCAACTGCCTCCCACTGCTGGCCTGCTCGCCCCCCAACTGCCCATCCCTGCTGGCCTGATTGTCCCCAACTTTTCCCCCTCCCTCCCCGCTCCAATTGGTCCCCCCTGCCAGCCTGATCACTCCCAACTACCCTCCCCTCCTGGCCCGATTGCCCCTAACCACCTCTGCCTCGGCCCCACCACCATGGCTTTGTCCGGAAGGTCTCCTTGAAGGTCTCCTGTTCTAATTAGCATATTACCCTTTTATTGGTATAATCTTAAAATCATCTCAATTCAGTTTTGCATTTAAGTGGAGATGTTATTAATTAAAACTAGTTTCAGATTTTTAGGAATTTTTGTTTGGAGGCTGACATGTTCTACAGAAGAGAGGTTACACCCACTGACTGAAGTATTTTATAGATCACTCCTACAGTGACAGCACGGAGATGGTGAAGATCATTGTGCATACTGTGCAGAGTCAGGACCGGGTTCTGAAGGAGCTGTTTGGTCATCTGAGGTAGATAAATAATTTTATTTCCTATTCAGAAGCCAGGGTATTTTTATCAGATTTCTTTCAAAGTATAATACTCCTTTTGGTAAATACATTAGATTCAGGAAGAATTCTATCAATAGCAGTATCTTGGGTATCTTGACCACCGCTGTGTACATTTAGGTGTCCTGTCTTTGTGCATTGCTTTGGAGATCAGCCATTAAATATGCCTCTGATTGTGGTTTATTTACTCACCTGGGTTTGGGAGTATGGTGTACAGTCTTGGGGGATACGTAAGGGTCTGATTCTGATTTCATCTCTCTAGCAAGTTGTTGGGCTGTAAGCAGAAGATTATCGATCTACTGCCCGAGGTGGAAATGGCCCTCAGTAACATCAAAGAAGCTGACAATACTGTCATGTTTATGCAGGGGAAGAGGCAGAAAGAAATATGGCATCTCCTTAAAATTGCCTGTGTAAGTAATTTTTAGTGAGTTATTTAATGGGCATTGATATGCTCTTATTCCCTGCAAAAGAAATTTTTGTCAGCATGACCTAGGTCCTCTTGAATGGGTATATTGTGTTTGGTTGATGCTTATGTTCTTTGCTTGATGTCTGACAGCAGTTCAGATGAATGACTTCATGATCACCTTTCATTATCTTTCCAGTCTCCTGTGTTTTTTTGTTTTTGTTTTTTTTAAATATATATTTTATTAATTTTTTTTTTTAATACAGAGAGGAAGGGAGAGGGATAGAGAGTTAGAAACATTTATGAGAGAGAAACATCCATCAGCTGTCTCCTGCACACTCCCCACTGACGATGTGCCCCAAACCAAGGTACATGCCCTTGACTGGAATCGAACCTGGGACCCTTGAGTCTGCAGGCCGACGCTCTACCCACTGAGCCAAACCTGTCAGGGCCAGTCTCCTGTTTTTATACTCCTTCAAGCCCTAGACCACTGTGATATCCCAACCTGATTTGGGGATAGACATGTCTGACTAGTTAATTAAAAAACAAAAACTTTTGTTCAAATGGGTTTATTATTCTTCCAACTAAAATGGAATTAGATGAGTAGATACATTTGGTTTTAGTCAATGAAGAATGGGCCTGGGGACAGGATAGTGGCATGAAATACCCACTACTGGAAACAGTTTTGTGCAGAAATATTCTGGGTGTACATGTAAGTTGTGATAGAAATGTAAGTCTTAGGAATATGGTAGGAAATTGTTTAAATTAGCTGAGATGCTTGCCTATAATCTTTTTTTTTTTCCTTCAGACACAGAGTTCAGCTCGGTCCCTTGTAGGGTCCAGTCTAGATGGTACAGTAACTACCCCTCAGGCATCAGCATGGCTGCCCCCGACTTCAGCAGAACGTGGACATCCTCTGTCATGTGTGGTAACTCCTCAAAATGGGTGGGTTCACTTTGAAACAATTGATAGTTGTTTTTATAAGCAGTGATAGGATTGAGGCAGTAGAGCATAGTGGTTAAGGCAATAACCTTGTGCAATTAATTTGATTCTTTTAATGTTCACATTTCCTCACCTGCAAAATGGGAATTGCAGTGAAAAGTCAATTAGACAACAAATGTAAAGTACTGGGAAGTAAATATGTATTCAGCAAATGTTACTTATTATTTCAATTTATGTTCTAAGTTCTCTCTCTGTTTTGGCTTATCAGTTCTTTTACCCAAACGTTATTCTTCCCACAATTATTTATCTCTGAGAAATTTTACTGTCCTTTTGCATTTGTCATTTTGGGGTCTTGGTCACCCTTCTGATAAATTTTGAGTTTAATCTATTTTATAACTTAGTGTTTCTAACAAACTTTTTTTAATGCCTTAAATCAGTTTTGCAAACAAGAACTGAAGTTTGAAGCCCTATATTTTCTTTAATTTCTACTCTTCTGCTAAAAGCTGAATGACTATCCATTTCTGTTATTTTTCTCAGCATAAGATGTGCCGTATCCAGAGCCAGTGGCTCTTTGCTAGCTTGTGTATTGTCGCTTTTCTCGCAACTCATGGAGACCTCTACAGCACCAGCATTTCCTGGAAGCTCTGCCCATAATTAGTTTTGCAGAAGTGCAGCCATGTTACATCACTACTCAGGAGGTCATGCAGTTTGCATATTCTGTACTCTACTTATATGAGAGAAAAGCACATAGAGGAAGGCAAGCTGATAACAGGTATTTTATTTTTTTAAAGAAAGCAAGTTCCAGGTTATATCTTGAGGTCATTGTAGATTTGACCCGGTATATAATACATCCACAGCTATAACACAGGCTATAATCAATTATATAGACTTTAGGAAATAATCCCAGTAATCAGAGATAAATCAAGTAAATTTTAATACATTACAAACCTTTTTGCTTTCATTAAAGGCATGTAATTTTGTTAGAGGATGCTAATGGTTGCAGATGTCACCTTTATACAGTGAATTTCAGATTTGAGGTTGTAGTTATTTGCTAAACAAAATTCCTGTATCCGACAGAAATTTTAAATATACTTTTCAGTAGGAATACATTATAAAGAAAAACTGATTTCAGTTATTATGTGGTATTTAACCATATTGGATTGGGAACTATTGGCCTCAATTTTTCCATCTGTTGAAAAGGAGCTGAATTAGAATTTTGTTCTAAGCTAACAATGGCTATCATCCATAGCCTCAAACTGATTCTAAGAGGGTAGGAACTCTGAGGGGTGGTAAAAGGCGAGAATAGGGGCCATATGGGAGAGGAAAGCATGGCAGGTGGAAGGTGGAAACCAGAATCAGGATTTCCTTCACATGTAAACTTCCAGGAATCTTCTCGGTTCTGGTCAGCTCCCATCACACTGTTTTCTTCCGCTCTCCTCAGGAATCAGCTTGCTTGTTTCATTTTTTTCATTGCTGTCATCTGTAGTTTCCAACCATCTTTTCACCTTCCCTGATCTTTGCAGAACAGATTATACTTTTGTATCTTCTCCCTGCATTTGTGTCTCTGAAAAGTCAGCATCATGGTGCTGTTCTTCCTAATTGTAAATGAAAGGGAAATATTCCAGAAACAAAAAGATTTTCACCTGTCTGTGCCACAAAGACCTACCCCACACCCCCATCCAGTTAGCATTTCTGGGGTGGGGTGTGTGTGTGGGGGGGGGCGTATATAAGTATCACTTTTATTGCAGAGGAAAATCAGATTGGAATTATAGTGGACTTATTGTTAAAGCTGGGCAGAGGCAACAGTTGGAGTAATAGGCAGGACTGTGTCTCTGGGTAGGAAGGATGAGGAAACTGAAGCCTACAGGAATCAGCTGCATTGGGGTACAGGGCTGCAGGAAGGGCATTGATCATCCTGACCCTGAAGACCAAAAAGTAGAGGAAATTCATATGTTCTTTTGCTGAATTTGAAAAGCCTTTTTTTTTTTTCTTTTTTCTTTTCACAGGGAGACTTTGGCACAAATCATAGAAGAAAATGTGAACTGTCTTGGCCATTTAAGCACTATTATTCATGAAGTGAATGAGGAGCAGAGCAGTAGAATGATGGTAAGTTTTATATGGACCTGGATGTGTGTTTTAGGTATTTTGCAAAGGGTTTAACTTTCCATGCTAGCTTAACTGGCATTTGGGATGCATATGAGGAACAGAATTCAGAGGGAAGAGAAAGAGCATTTGAGGAATATCCTTGACCTCAAATCCCCATCTTCTCTTATTCGTGCATATACTAGGATTATGTCATTAATAATCTTCAACAGTAGCATTTTTGGTCAAATTAAATGATTGGTGAGCTTTCTTTGCAATATGATCACTGAAATTAAATGGTTTGTACCTTTCTGCTTCAACAATCAATTTTCTCCAATAAGATGGGGCAGGATTTATGATTCAAATATAGTAACTTTTGCATACAAATGAATACTATAATTATAGTTGAAATTATTATAATTATTTATATTAATAAGATTTAGTTATTGTCAATTACTGATTTAAAACTTGGAAATACTACAATAAAATGTTTACATTTAGTATCAAGGTCAACTCTTTATATTTCCTCTTTCATTAATTATTTGCTTCAAATATTTATGAAAACACTGAACTACCTTTTAAATTAGCAGAAAATAAGGTAAACTAAATTCTAATTGCAACTTATTTATGCTTTTAATTTTTAATCTTTTGATTATAAAATGTATGAACATACTTAGAAAACTTGCAAAAATGAACACCCAAAACCTACCACTTCTAGTCAACATCTAATTGTCATTTTTCATGCCTGGTTTTAGAATCTTGATTGGAGTTGGATAACAGAATGACTTACCACTTATTTGCTGTGCCCAAACCAATGGAAGTTGTTGCTGCACATGGTCGAAATTTGTTTTCTCCCATGAAACCATTCTTCAAACACCATTCAATGGAAGAAATGGCTGTGATCAAAAACTACATATGGTTTTACAAAGGCTATATTTTGGTTTTGGGTAATTTTAACCCCTGAACAGATATAATTTTATGTTGGTGAACTTGTTTAAAAACTACAACTAGTTAGGTGCATCATTGCAGTCTATTTGTTTTTAAACTTTGTAAAACATTACTTATTTAACTGACTAAAAATACCCTTTAACTTTTGGACATAAGGCTAAAAATAGTATGTACAGAAAAGAAAAACCTCAATTAATATGTTCCAAGTACACACTGTCTGCATATATTTCTGTAGCAAAGATTGCTTACAAGTAAAATTGTACTTCTTGAAGAAAAAACCCTACCTCCTTGTGTTGCACTCAACAGTGCTCTTTCTGGCATCGTAAGGAGCTGGGTCAATCCCATTTTTCAATTTTATTACACATTGGACAGTGCATCTGTGCCTTTAATATCAATGGACTGTCCTAAGTGTGCTATGTGTATATGTATTTAAGATGTACATTTAGTAATATCAAAGAAGAAATGTTAATTTATAATGTGTTTGAAAATGTGTTTTTTTCATTTGTAAAAATGAGTCATTTGTTTTAGGAATCTTACATGTCTTGTCATACCAATATAAAGGTCTGCACTCCCTTATCTGTAAATCTAAAATCCAAAAAGCTCTGAAAACAAGGTTTTTCATAAGCTTGGTGACAAAACTCATTTGCTTTCAAATCTAACTTGAACTGACAATTGAATCAACTTATCCCATCTAGTGTGAATCTTCACTTATTTTGCTGTAAAATTATTAACATGTTTGATTATTTGGTGGGGAGGCTGCTGCCATAGACCCTGCTGGGTGTTTATGTAATATGGTATATGCATTGAATTTCCTTTCTAAAATCTGAAAATGTCATAATTCTGAAACATCTGGCTGTAACGATTTCAGATAAAGAATTGTGGATCTATTATCTGTTAGATAATTTAGAAGATACTTGTTTTTTAAAAAATGTGAAATGCTTTTGTATTATAGTTTTTCACTTTGTGTATTAAATGATTTTTAAATTACTTTTTGATTCTCTTTTCATTAAAATCAGATGAATATAGTTGACCCTTGAACGAAGTGGGGGTTAGGGGAATCAATACCCACACTGTAAAAAATTTGAGTATCATTTTAGCTTCTATAATTGGCCCTTCACATCTGTGAATTCACCAACAAGTTGGGAATGCAAAAATACTGTTTCGAGTCATGGCTGGTTGAATCTGCAGACATAACTGTGTACAGGACTTTTGGGCAAGGTGGTGGCATAGGTAAAAATACTTGCCTCCTCCCACAACCACATCAAAATTTCAACTAAATTAGCTGAAACCGGTTTGGCTTAGTGGATAGAGCATCAGTCTGCGGACTGAAAGGTCCCGGGTTCAATTCCGGTCAAGGGCATGTACCTTGGTTGCGGGCACATCCCCAGTAGGGGGTGTGCAAGAGGCAACTGGTCGATGTTTCTCTCTCATTGACGTTTCTAGCTCTCTATCTCTCTCCTTTCCTCTCTGTAAAAAATCAATAAAACATATATTTTTTAAAAATTTTTTTCAACTAAATTGTAGAACCACCATCGTTCAGAACCACCTGAAACATGGTTGAATGAAGTCCTGTAACTAGGGAATGAAAGAAGCCACATCGAGACCAGTAGGAGGAGCAGAGATGCAGAATGGGCTGGTCACACACACACACTTGTAATGGATAAAAATTGGGAAGGATATCTCACCTGCAGAGGTGCCCCTGAGGAGCGAGAATTCCCAGCCCCATATCAGGGGCCATTTGGATATTTATAACATCATTCACAGGCCACACAAAATTGTCAACTTAATAAAAATTAGCCTGCTATATTTGGTCAAACACTTAACTCACCCCTAATGCCTTGGCAGGGCCAGAACAAATTATTTTGTGGCCTTATATGGTCTGCCGGCCAGACAGTCCCCAGGACCTTGTTTGATCTGGAACAAACAAGGTCCCAGGGAAATGAATGATACAGGTAAAGAAGAGGATAGAGTAATCTGGGCGGGCTGGCTTTAATGACTTGCCCCTTCCCATTTCCAGTTATCACCATTATAACTGGACCTGCAGTTTCTAACCACTTTGCTTCCTTGCCTCTACTCTCTCTCCACTGTAAACCATTTTGCAGACTCACTGGCCCTAAAGCACTGCCCAAGAGGTTACAGAGTCTTCCTACCCTAGTCCACTTGTACAGTTATGGTCCCACTGCTAGCCTTTGAAGGCTTACAGTAACCATTACTGGCCAACCTACTCTAATATGCTGCCCTTATTTCCCTGTTTGTTCATCTCATTCCTTTCTCTGCTCTTTCACCTTGTCCTTTTTGTGTCTGGTAATATATGCTTTTAATGCATATTTAAAAAAAAAACAGAAGAATATGCAGTAAAAAGACTGTCTCTATTTTCTAGCCTTCCAGTTCCCTCTCCGTACAGAAAAAGTGCTTTGAGCCTTTCAAAATCTGGGACTAGCCCTCCATCCCACTCCTTCCCATCATAATGGCTTCACAGGAGCTCAAATGCTCCCTGTTCCTTTTCATTTTTCTAGAGGACCCATTCCTATTGCTTGGATGGCCATCAAGTCCTCCCCAGATCAGCTTCAGGCACATCAATAGGTGCTCAGAAAAATGACTTGGTGAATGACTATGCAATGAAATTGATTATCTTCCTCTTCAGAATTTACGCTTCCAACAAGTCTGGTTGCCCCTGAATTCATTGCAGGACCGGTACATAAAGCGTGTGCTTGCCACTTAGGATTTGGTAAAAAAAAAAAAAAAAAAAAAAAAAAAAAAACACAAAAAGACAAAAGGAACACTTGAGTGAGTTTTTGCACAAGAACTGACCAGTTCCTTGTCCCAGAGTCCTTCTTCTAATTGGACAACCCTGCCTACCCTACCGACTTGTTTTCCTGAACTGGAAACCAGCAGCGCCCAGAAAAAGAGTCCGAGCGGTTTTATAGGAAATTGCGCTGCAGGCGGCCGGAGAATTTTGTCCCCTCTGCTCCCCCGTCTCTTCAGTCGCGGGGCGAGCGCTGCGTCGGCTTGCGTGCCCGCGCAGCCCGCGCAGCCGCAGAGCCCAGGGGTGGGCGGGGCCGGCGGTTGGCGGCGGTTGGCGCGAGGAAGCCGCGGCACGTGCGGGGCGGGGGCGATGCGTCACTGACCGGTGAGGCGCGGCGGCGGAGGGGTGGGCCTGCCCTCGGACTCTGCGGGGGGGACCCCCTCCTGAGCACCTTGTGCCGCGGGCGCGGCCATTGGGAGACGGGGTGTCACGACGCTCCCTGAGCAGGGGCGGCCCGCGGGCCGTTTCGCGCGGGGTGGGGTGGGTGAGCGGGTTCTGCCAGGAGGAATGAATGAGGGGAAAGGGGGGCACCAGACTTCCCGGCGCGGCGTGCGGCAGGGAGCCGGTTGTGCGGACGGGATAGGCTTGTCTCTCACGGGGCTGGGGGGCTCCTTCCTTATTCAGGAGCAACAGGATGAATATGACTCAAGTCCGGGCTCTGGTGGCTGCAGTGGTGGGTGTGGTGGTCGCCGTGCTCTATGCCTCCATCCACAAGATCGAGGAAGGACACCTGGCGGTGTACTACAGGTGAGCGGCGTGCGCGGTGCGCTCCGGGGGAAGCGGGCTCCCGCCGGAGCGGCTCCCTCTGCGGCGTCTGGAAAGCCCTCTCCAGCCCTCGGCAGTGACTTTCGTCCTGGCTCTTGGGGGCAGAGGCTCTTGGGCTTTTGCAGAGCACCCTGCAGGTGTTGGGCAATGTTAGTGCAGAGGTCGAGTCCCCATGTATTTCTTGTAGCTCAATTTTTGTAGGAAAAAAAGTGAACGAAGAAAGGCAGTGGCCACGCCATCTGTAACTGAAGAGATGGGTAAATTGTTGTATTCCATACACCAGTGTTTCCCAAACTTTTGACATATGTGTACCCCTTCTATAATTTTCGTAACGCTGAGTACCCCTCGTACTCATGAGAACGTAGAATTAGACGCAGCTAAGCACGGTGCAGTGCATATCTCCACCACACTCCGGTGCAAGGCGTACCCCCCACCAAACTCTTCCCGTACCCCTGGGGGTACCCGTACCACACTTTGGGAAACACTGCCATACACCTGTACAGACTTTGGGCTTGAACTTTACATGCTGTTTAGAAAGGATGGCCCTATTAGTGATGGTCCTTTACATCCTCTCTTCTCCCCCCCTTAAAATCACCTAGTGTCTGGTTTCGGCTTATAAATGACAGTTGTTATATCCCTGGACCTCGAGACACAGAAGCTCAGCATTGATGGACCACCCTCCTCCCACCTTATTACCCTTTCTTTCAGGTTAAGGAAAGGAATGGTGTGGGATGTGTTGCTCTCTAGTTGGGCTCCAGTAGCTTTTCCTTCAACGTGGTACCACCAGTTTTTGTGTGTGTTTTTTTAACCTAGACACAGAGGATAATCTGGAGAAATTGCAATAATGATTTGAAAGGGCTTGAACTTCAACTTTTTTACTTGTTTCCATCACCCCCCCAAAAGTGATATTTCTACTTTTAAATCCATCCTGAATCTTAGAAACAGTCTTACCTGTGAAACACGAGTTTCAAATGCAATTTCAGTGATAAATCTTAGCAGATGAATAACAGGTTAGTTCATAATTCCATCTAGTTCAGCATTGTCTTCCTGGTAGTGAAATCTTGGAAAGAGCTTTTCAAGGTGTGGGTCTCAAAGAATTAGGGATATACCTCAAACAGTTCATATTTTTTTAGTTGTTTGTTATTAATCCTTTGTATATCTATATTTTCAAATAGGAAGCTAAGTTCTATGAAGTTATTCTTCACTGTGTACAAAAGGTCTTCTTTTTAATATTTATCCCTCAAGTGCCTTTTTTTAAAAAAAAATAATTTCCAAGATATGCTGTCATAGTTCACACATTCCAAAATTTGGTGAACAAGTCCAGAGTTATATTCTCTCTACTTTTAATCTTATTCCCTCACTCTTTATCTTGCCATGCTACTTTTTTCTGTGTTTTTAAAAATAAACACCCAGTATTTTCATTGCCTTATTATATAGGTAGATTAAAAGAATCTTGAACCTCTGAAATTTTCTCCTTGAAAGTTTGTATTCTTTTTTAACCTGGTGATTAAATGTATTATGTTTTGAACTGGTTAGTGAATGTGTTATGCACAATCAAAATATAGCAACTGAGAGCCATTAGAATTCTTTTTACAAGTATTTTTCAGACAGTTAAAAACCATCGAAAATCCTTTGTACCTATGAGCAGTGCTGGAAACCCAGAGGTATAGTTGGTTCATCTTATGAAACAAGGTGTAACATCAGCAGTTTAATGTGATTTTTTTTTCCACCTTAGCTGTGGCAGATATTTTAGGGACTAGCAGTTGTTCATTATGTATAATTCATATTAGTGAGGCTTTAATAGGTCAATAGCATGAGTAAGAGTGAATACCTATTACAGCATTTTAGATTTGGAAAGAGAATTTCTCTCTTTATAATTTTGTCAATTTGAAACATCTTTGCAGGGGAGGAGCTTTACTAACTACCCCCAGTGGACCGGGCTACCACATTATGTTGCCTTTCATTACTACGTTCAGATCTGTACAGGTAAGTGGTTTCTAAGGAAGCCCCTACACTGGATGAACAGGTGTGACAGGAACAGATGTGGATGGAGATAGATTTCCTTATTGCTTAATCAGATGGTGCTATTTACTTAAGTGCAGGAGTTAAAGTACAGAGTACAGTTGTCACAGTACAGGTGTCACAGTACAGTTTGTGCTTTTGAACCACCTCACTCTGTTGAAGTATGTTAGAAGTAAGAGCTATGCAACTTGGAAGAACTGATTTCTCACATCTATATAGGGGTATGCAGCAGGTTTTCTGTTGCTGCTGTCAAAATAAAAGCAGGTCTTCCACGCACAACTAGAAAAACAAACCAGTGATTACTGGTTTAGAACAGTGTTTGGTTTCCATAGAGGCAAGCTCCTAGACTACTGTTAACACAGAGGATCTGAATTTTTATACACAGCTTTTCTGCCTCACATTTTTTGCCTGGGGACATTAAGCACAATTTTATGTGGAACCTTAGGGAATGTTTTATTTTAATAGTATTTCAGAATATTTGAAGTAGCATCTTATCATTGAGAACAGTGTCTTGATTGTGGGAAATAGTAAAATATCTTTTGAAATCTATATATAAAAAGCCTAAACGACCGAATGGACCAAACGACCAAACCATTGGTCAGCCGGTCACTATGATGCACACTGACCAGGGGACAGATGCTCAATGCATAGAATTGGTCTCCCTCCTGTCTGGATCAGGCCTACAAGGCTTGGGTCGAAACCGGCTCTCCGACATCCCTCTAGGGGTCCTGGATTGCAAGAGGGCGCAGGCCAGGCTGAGGGACCCCACTGGTGCACGAAACTGCACCCGGCCGTTAGTAAGATCATAAAATAGGATTAGATTGTGACTGTTTTATCAGTATGATTATAAATCTATGGATTGTCTACTATCTGCTAATTTTTTAAGACTGAGGAAAATGTAATATAGTTAATCATGGAATTTAAATCTAGTCTTCTTGATAAGTGAGAGTTTCATTATAAATACTTAAATCCTCCAGGTTTCCTTCCAAGTTGTTTTTCAATGGCATAGTGCAAGAATTTGTATCTGTTGAAGTGAAATGTGTTCTTCCTTTACCTGGACTGATTTCCATATTTTCTCTATTTTATTCACACTTGCCTTGGTTCATGCCATCACCTATTCTCTCCTCATCTTTCCCTTCATTTCTTCTCTCCTGTCTAAATCTTGCCAGACTTAAGGCTTATCTCAAATCCCTCTTTTAATCTATAGCTCTGAATGTCTGTACTATAAATTTTGGTCCTTGATCTTATTTCTTTTAATACTACTGTCTTGTTTGTTCTCTAAGTTTTTGTGTGTATTTTCCTTCCAGAAAATCTCCAAGCTTCTTGAAGGCAGGGATTGTAACCCATTTATATTTCTGACCTTTCTACTTGTGAAAATTGTTAAATTGAGCAGGTAGGTGTAGTGAACACATGGGGTCAGAAACCTGGAGACTTCAGTTCTGGCTCTAAAACCAATTAATTATATGACTTTGCAAAAATCACTTCACTGCTGTAGAGTTCAGTTATTCCTCTGTGAAAGAAGGAGTTTTAATTACATGACCTCACCAATAGCCCAAATGGTTTGTAATAATGTTATCAATGGCAGCATCACACTCTTAGAGATTAGGGGATTTTGTTAGATCTGTTCAAAGCCAGGCAAATCTATCTCTGCCTTCTTGGAGCTTAGTATGTTGAGTTATACTGATGCAGAGATATATAGAAGAGATACAGATAATAAACATTAAATAGGTTTTAGAGTTTAGTTGCACATATAACAAATACAATATATAGTGTGTATACATGTATATTTACATATTGCAATAAACCATCATACTTAATGGAAATGAAATTAGTAAAGAGATTTCCATGTCAACAATATACTTTGAATTTACAAAAAAATTAAATGGTGGAGCCAGTGTGACTTAATAGGAATGTTCTTTTTTAATATGTGAAGCAGTAACATTCTAGGAAAAAATTATATTAATAAAAACCCTTTTTAGCCGAAACCGGTTTGGCTCAGTGGATAGAGCGTCGGCCTGCAGACTGAAAGGTCCCGGGTTCGATTCCAGTCAAGGGCATGTACCTTGGTTGCGGGCACATCCCTAGTAGGGGGTGTGCAAGAGGCAGCTGATCGATGATTCTCTCTCATCGGTGTTTCTAACTATCTCTCTCCTATCTGTAAAAAATCAATAAAATATGTATTTTTTTTTAAATTGTTCTTATTCAAATGATACATAAAAGATTTACTTTTATGAAATTTTGGAACATATTAGAAGATATAAGCTTCTTTGTTGGTGTAGAATATGACTAATGTTTTGAAGGAAACACAATAAATTGAGCTCATTTCTTCAACTTTTCTCTATCTATCTAGAACCTGTCACTATGTTTACCATCACCCTATTTCTCAACCCCTGAATTAAACTCAATTCTCTTTTTTCCTGGAATTTTATATGCAACCAGTTTTTTAATCCTTTCTCTATTATGATTCTTGGACTGACAGCTTTTAATTTCCATGCCCTTTACTAAATCAGCTTAAATAAATTAATACTTTAGCTTCCCAGCTGGTTTTCTTGCCTCTAAATAAGATGCATACTGAGAATGCACCACATATGAGCCAAGGAATTAAAGAAAACCATATTTTTGAAAGTTTTTTTTGTGGTTGTATATAAGATAGATTAGGAGGGCCCAAGCCCCTCCCTCCCTCCTTTGAACATGCAGGGCCCTCTACCTAGTACCACCATGTTCTCTTCTCAGAAACTCAACTTTCATCTATATCCTCCCTTCTGCTGCAGGCAAGCCAAGCCTCTTCCTGTCACTTGTACTAGTAGTATGTACTGTTCGTTCTCAACTTTATATATTTGAATAGATATTTATTGAACCTAAAATGTTCCTCTGTCTCATCTGTTCTTATTTCTCCCTCTGTAGACCTGGCTTATAAATACTTCACTTCAGAGAGCTTTTCAACCTATCATTTTACTCTCTGCCATTTAATACCTAACATTCCAGTTTATACGCTGTTATTTTATACCTGTTATAGATTGCTTTGTAAGGATTTTATCTCCTGTGTTGGATAATGAGCTCTTTGAAAACAGGGACTATACTTTCTCCTTTGTATTCCATAAAGTAATATGTTGCTGAGGGCTTAGTAACGAACAGTGTGTCTAGAATATACTCATTAGGTATCCACCTAGTGGAGGCCTTAGAATACAAGAGAGAATCACTATGGGTCCAAACAAAGGGGCAAAGTAATAATGTACCAGATTCTTGGAAAGAAGTAGCGCTGGTGGTGGCACTTCTGCTAAAAAGGAAATTGAACAGACCATTTGAGAAATTACTAGGGCCTAACCTAAATGTTGACCATAGCTTCAGAGAAAAAGATTGCTTTTCAGTTCAAGGGTACCTTTGAGTTGTATGCGTATAATAGTTATCTTTTTACCTTCGTCATAAGCAGTGGTATTAACAGTGGAATCAAAGTTCAGAGCACAAGTCCTAGTAGTAGTATCCTGTGAGTAAGCCAGGTAGTTTGTAATCCCTGGCCAGCTATAGGCAAATAAGGGACTCTGAGAGGTTGAACATTGAAACTTTCCAAGTGCATCCTGATTCAAACATTAACTGTAAAATATTTTGTCTCAAAACTTTCATATCTGCTGGGATATTAATACAAAAAGAAATTGCTTTGATAGTTAATCTTTGATGACTAAAATTGTAATGGAGCTCTCCTATATTTACCTCTCAGTACTTCTCCAGAGTTTTACCCTCTGGGACTGGTAGTTCTTTGACAATATGTGTCCTGAGTATTGAGATGTTTTTTCCTCCCCAGACAACACTGCAAACTGATGAAGTTAAAAATGTGCCTTGTGGAACAAGGTAAGCTTTCCCTCACAAACTGCCCTTTAGTTCAGATAGTTTCTGTTCATAAGCTCTAATTAGTTAAACATCTTTCAAATGGCATGAAAGTAACCCCAGGAGTTTTCTCTTCTGGGCATTATATGAGGAAAGCCCTGTCTCCAAACAGGAGCTTTTTATCTTAAGAGCCATTAGGGTGTTATTGAAAAGAACCAGCAGACCTAACTTCATACGTATATCAGGACTGCCACATCTGCTTTATTGAGTTTTGTGGCTATTTTTTTTTTTAACTAGACTTTATTCTTTAGTGCACTTTTAGGTTCATAGCTAAATTGAGCAGAAAGAACAAAGTTTCCATATAATCATTGCTGCCACACATGCCTTTATTGACTTTGCTAAGCCCAGTTCCCTCATTTGTAAAAATACTATCTAATAAAAATTAGAGTAATATGCAAATTAACCACCACTCTGCTACACCCACAAGCAATGCCCACCAGCCAATCAGGAGCGAGTAAGCAAATTAACCCAACCAAGATGACTGTGGCCACGGAGTGAGCAGAAGGCTTGGGTTTCTCCAGCAATGGAGGAAGCTAAGCTTTCCGCACACCCTGGCGGACCCAGGTCTCTACTCAAGGCTACAAAGTTTCAATTATAGAAGATAGATAAATCCCAACAAAAATGGCAGCAGCCACAGAGCTGGAGAGAGCAGGAGGCTTGGGTTTCCCCTGGTGATGGAGGAATCCAAGTTTCCGCAGCCCTGGCCTGCCTTGGCCTCTGCTACAAACTTTCAATTATAGAAGATAAATAAATCCCAGATACCAGGGCCTCTGCTTGGTCACTAGGGGGCGTGGCCAGCCTGCAAACCACCACAGGCCCCTCACCCAGGCCTTCCCACACCCCATGGGAATCCCCACCCTGATCCAGGACATCCTTCAGGCAAACCAGCTGGCCCTCACCCATGCAGCAGGCCTCTAGCCTATCTAATAGAAGATAATATGCAAGTTGA